AAAAAACATTTAGAGGTGCTTGTCCTTTACTTAAGTGTTCATCTTTATGCTTTACATAAGAGTGGAAGATTGTGCTTTTTATCTCCCCAAAATATATTTAAAAACTACATTTTAAACTTTCCTTTTTCACCTAAAAAACAGGAGTCAATGAATAAAGTGCGGTGTACATTCAATTCTTACCTTAACGTTATCCCTCACAAAATAACAACTCATGTCGGCACATTCTCACATTTCTGATGTCACTGAGTTGTTAGATGTCTCAATATTTTTACCTTTCTAAATTGGCATGATGTGCTCAGTTATAATCATCTCAGGGCCTCTGAGATGTCTCTTATAACTCAGGTAACTAATCTGAGTATCTGACCACTGCTGAGGTCAAGATGCTGCTTACATTGGGAATGAATCCTATCAGTCCCATGGGGAGTATGTGGACAGTAAGTTTGAATAACTCTTTCTTTATTTGACCTTTTTGTGACATATTAAATGCTAAAGGTTGATTTTTAGTTTGAAAGTTGAGTCCTGAACAGTAAGCTGTATGATAATGCTGTCCTTCACGAGAAGCTCAGGAAGCTGCAGCTTTAAGCATTTAGGTTGTGTGTGGGCCTTCTATCAATCTCATCGACTTTTTCCCTACACAGCATGGACTCACACACCAAACGCTTTATACTAAAGGGAAAGTATTCCAAATATCTGCAAGAGTTACTAATGCAATCCAGGGAAAGAGTCTTGCAGGCCAAGAGGCTGCAAGACTGGTTCCTCACGTGTGGATGAACGTATAGTTGAGTGAACAAAACCAGCTAGACTTAACTGGGATTTTAGGCTGTTTACTGGGGCTCAGGCGGTTGGGGAAGGGCAGGGACGTTATGATGGAGAAATCCTTTCATACCCTTGAATTTGTTTTCTTTTTGTTTGTGCAAGTGTCAATGCCAAAATACTATAAAGCGCCTTTATTTTGATTCCTAGAATGAGGCTACATTCAAATTATAATCTAGAATTCAGGGGTGGGCCACATGCAGTTGAGATATAATTGACTGTTAGCGTTTTTGTAAAACTCTTATATGAAAGTATACTAAGTACTGATGTTGTAGTGAGGACCACACTAACCGAGACCAAGACATATGTGAGACCAGAGTGATATGAGACTGAGACAAGACCGAGACATTTAGGGATCGAGACCAAGTCAAGACCAAGACCATAAATATCACTTTTAAAATCATCATGTGTGCAGCGGGCGTGTCACTCACCACTCATCAGTAACACCAGGAAGGTTGCGGTGGTAACCAAGAGATAAAAATCAAACTACAAATGAATTGAAGTCATTTGTTCTTTTAGAAAGGAGCATTGGAGGTGGTCTTGACTGGTCTTAATCTAAAATCAGGAGTCCGCCCAGTCTGAGACAGAGACAAGACAGAGTAAAAATACTTTCAAGACGAGACCTTCAAACAGTGGTCTCGAGACCGGTCTTGATTTCGATTACTACAACACTAGTGTGTACATTTGAAAAAAAGAAAGAAAAATATCCTAAAATAACCAGTAAATACTCTGTTCATTGCATTGGAAAAGAAACTTAATTTTGAAGTAAGCACATTAAATTAAGGATTAACAATTGTACTGGAGGTTAAAATATGAATGTTGGTATCATAGAGGCTGATAAAAGCTATGTATTCCTTCCTTTGGTTGAATTATAAGTCCACCGAAGAGTATCCTACAATTTGGCCCTCTGACAGTGAGAATTAAATATATGTGGCCCTTGCTGTGACCAAAGTTGCCCTTTCCTGGTCTAGATCAACATCAATGGGTTACACCATCTAATCTGCATCCCGATATCTGACTTCTTTGCCACACCTGTTTAAGCCACAACCACAACTTTATAAAAGCCTGCGCTCAGGTCTGTTACTTCCTCTTCCATCCAAACCAAGCCTGACCTGCTATAGAGAACAACAAAAACCTCCATGTGAGTGTAAAATGGATCTTTCACCTTACTTCATTCTTATTTTGTTGATATATTATGAATTATTTCCAATAAAACACATGTATTAATGATAGTTTAAAAAACAAAATGAGGAACTTACTTAATTATTTTGATTGGATTGACATTATTTATCAAGATCTGTAATATTCCTATTTGGATGACAAAAGCAACACAAAAAAGATCAGTACCTGTTAAAACTTTCTCCAGCAGAGCATTTATTTCATCAAATGGTCAGGGCACACTTTACCATAGAGAGTTCAGCAACATTGCCATCTTGTGGCCATTTGATATATTTGCAGTCCTCAAATAGAGTACACTATAAATCTCTGTCTAAAGAGCAGGTTAAACATACAACATTCAGGCTACCTCTAAATGTTTCTTCAGAAGTAACTTCTAATACTGATTTATTTCTAACATCCTGTCATTTTTTCACTTCTTTATACGTTTAGATTTGTTAATTTGACTTAAGAAATTCTGATGCATTTTCAGTTTTGTTTTCTGAAATGTTTGGTTGTCAGATCAATTACAGAAGAGGATCACTATGAGGGTGAAGACCAATAACATGGGTGTGGTGGAGATATAAATGTCACATGTTTTAAAACCCTGAGCGTCATTAAAAAAGAAGCCTTAAGCAGATATTTAAATTACATTTACTGCTTGTCAGATCAACATCAGAAACATTAGCTTGATGTAAATGCAACATCTTACAGCTCCAAAACATTAAAAACTATATAGATAGATTTGATCTTTAAGTCACAGGTAGCTGAGGAAACGTGTTAGTACAAAAAGAAGGACTTGGGGCGATTGGAGGAAAATTTAGAGTGGTGTTTTAGTTTTGATGTTAATTATTTGAAGATTGAGGACATGAGATTAGATTATTTGTCTTTGGTGTTTTAATGAGAGATGATCATGAGTGATGTTTTGGTGACTGGTATTATCTTATATTACTTTGTATCTGCAGCATTTATTATCACAATACAATTTTAATCTGTTTTAAAATGAGTCTTATTTTGGGCATGTTTTATAATGTGCTCTTCTTTTGAGTTTATGATTCTTACTTTAAAAACTTGAACTTTTGAAAACCTTTATTTGCATCTAAAAACTTGAAATTCTAATTAAACAATACATTTTTAAATGTATCCATCAACTACCTTTCTTCAATGGATGATGAATGTGTTTAAATGTATGACACACTTTAAGTGAAGCTATAATTGTTTGACGATTGGTTCTTACATAATGCATCTATGAGAACCTTTCAAGTGTATTCCTGTTGTGATGGGTTCATATCTGATAAAATCTGCATGTATTCAAAATAAACATCAGAGAAAATCCTGAGTTCAACATTGTGTAATCTATCAAACCATATATATATATATATATATATATATATATATATATATATATATATACACACAATTGCAGTTCAAAGTGCTTTACAAAGGAGCAGAAAAGGGATTGAGAAAGGGTAGTTTGTAAAAACCTTTTAGAGACTAATGCACAGAAATAAGAAATAAAATAATCATGATAAATATAAATACTAAAAAAACATAAATCAAACACAAAAATGTGAATTAAAAAGTAGATATTAACAATTTTTTCATTAGCTTCAAGATAAAGATAAGCTCCAAACAGAATTAGAAAACAGCTTCTGTTAAATTTTTAGGGCTGCCTCGATGTAGGCTCTCAAATCTCAATATGCCTGTTCAGCTTATGTCCATGTAAGTAGACTACAAAAGTAGAAAAGTGGAGGCTGCAGGTCGACATAAGAGCTTACCTACCGATTTACTGGAGGGTAGAGTATGTTTTACGTGATCATCTGTGCTAAAATTACCTAACCAACTAGTATTAGCATAACGCTGATACGAACAAGCAGTTTAAAATCGCCCGGCATTGCAGTTCCTCTGTGTCGTCACTGAATGTTTCCATTTCCGGGGTTTTGGCATCAACGCTCATTCGCTCCACGATATTTGCGCTGAGTCAAAGAGGAGGGTCCTGTGTCAAGTTACACATGCGCAGCGAGTAATACACCGGAAGCAAAGGGTTTTCCCTCAAAAATATAAAAAATAAACACGTGTTAAAGACAAAGATAAAGATAAACTTTATCGATCCCCCCCCGTGGGGGAAATTTTTTTGTTACAACAGTTCAAGCAAAACAGGAATATAATTATTAAAAATAACAAGAAGTTAAAAATCAAACATATTTACATCAGTTAAATAAAGGGAGAAAAAATACAATAATAGAATAAGAATTAAAAAAAATATATTCTTAAAAAATAAACACGTGTTCCCGTAATTAATTACAATTTATTAATTGCATCTATTACTAAAAGCAATTTGTTTGTATTTTGTTCGTTTTTAAAGCTTTTTTTTTTTTTTAAACACCATTGGCTGTAATAAATATGCCAGATTGTGGCAGGATCAGAATTTCGTTCTTGTTCTTTTTAACTTCACTTTGCATAGTCTTGAAACTAAAAGGAACTGATGAAATATATATTTGCCTTAAACACTAAGTCCAAATGAAATCTCTGGTTAAAACTGTTCTTCAATTAACTTTTTTTTTATGGGTAGCCTATCTTTATGCAGTCTGGTTTCAATTTAACACCCCCTTTCCTAATGGAAATGGCACTGACTCTACCAAAGTTTTAGTAATCATAAGTCATGTTTACCATATACAGGTGTTTTCACTCGTGTTAGCTTCGTATTGTGTAGTTTGTTTTTATAACTGGGTCTTAGAGGTTATAAAATTGATAATAGAGTACATACGGCTCCCAGGTTGCAGCTCTGGTGTAGTTGAAGCAACACATTCCTCCAGCAGCAGCAGCAAGGGCTGATGGGTTTCGTTAGTCTCGTTTGATGCGGAGTTTCGTTTGTTGTGATGGTTGCATAGTCACTAGGCCCTGGAACTATAGCTGTTGCAATGCCGCAGCTATACAAGGATACTAAAAACAGACTTTATTCTGAAGGCTAAACCGGATATTGTTTGCGCTGTGGATGTGCTCGACGCGCTCGGCGTGGAAACAAAACCCGGGTATTTTCAGCGTACCCAGTGTCTCCTGCAAAACAGAACAGAACTGCCCGATCAGCTGTTACAAGCGACGTAGTTTCCATTATCGGCTCTAGTTGAGGTGCTTTCTTTTTTCTTTTCTTTTTTCACTGAGTAACTCAAATGACCTCCTGTGTGTAAACCATAGACTGTAGATACGTGTAAACCCAACATGGACAACCGTAAAAGGCCGTTCGACGGAGGGTTGAGCCCTGATGAAAGCTTCAAAACGCCGGAGAAGAAAGTGTCAGCGGTCCGGCTGCAGGACTCGGACTACATGCAATGGGGAGTCGAGGAAACTTGTCGCTACCTGCGTAGAGAAGATCTCGGAGAATTTGAAGATACATTTCGAGGTTGGTTTTCTGGTTTGGTCGCTTTAATAGATGTTTTCATTGTGTAGGCTATCTGTTGATCAGATGGGTCAACGCTGCCGCCCATTTGTGTGTTTGACATGTAAGCAGTCAACATGAATAGTAATGTTTCCTCTGTCATCCAGCACAAAAAATCACAGGAGTCGGCCTGAGGTATCTGAATGACAGCGATCTGGAGAAGATTGGCATTGAGTAAGTGTTTCCACTTCCGACTTTATTTAATAATATTCAAATAGCCCACTGCCTTGTGCACTCACTGTCTTTAGGAGGAAATGTGACCAGCAATACCACATGGCTCTCCTAGTGGGTCGACTTTAATGCTTCATGCATTGTCTGTATGTTGGTTAACACCTTTTTCTTTTCTTTTTTTCTTCACAATTGTATCATTTAAGGAGCCTTGGTGACCGGCTGCGGATCATACACAGCCTCAGGAAGCTGTGGCAGATAACAGCAGAGCCAAGCAAGGTATTTTGTCTGTTATCAATCTAAACTCTCAAGGCTTACAGATCAGAAAGACATAATAAAGCAAAAAAAAAAAAAAAAAAAAGGAGCATGCTAGATGAGCAGAAGGGACATGTGAAATATATATTAGCAGAGTCAAGGAAAAACAGATGATGGTTTATTTCATTCTCATTAAAAAGGCTAACTAAAGGTTGGAAGCTAAATACATAATGTGAAATTGAATTGTGAGTTGGAAGTAGGAAAGTATTTTTTTATAGATTCTGTGATAGTGAATTTTGTCCGTAATAATTTATTATTATTATAATAATAATAATAATAATAAAAGCCTAAGACAGGCTACAGACTGTTTAAAACACATATTTAAGCCTCCTTTAGAATTGAGATGCTGTGGTGAATTCAATTTCATATTAAAAGACTGTACGACCCGACCTTGTGATCGCATCTACTGAACCTCTGTCAAGTGTGTCAACACATTGTGTCAACACACTGTGTCAACACACTTGACAGAGGTTCAGATGGACTGAAACGTTTAGCTTGTTCTAATAAATTGGTGATACTTAGCAGGAGTAGTGTGCAGGATTTTTTCTTTTCAAGTAATAGTTTTTCGTCCTACGCACCTACCTTATGAGATAACTGGTTGTCCTAACACCTCCTTTAAAAAAAACAGGGTCTAAGTTTTAAAATGCATTCAAGCAGGCTGGGACTATTTGATCGACACATATATTTTGCTAAATTGAATTCTGGATGTAAACATAAATAGCGCCTCTGTTGTGTCTTCTGCCAGGTGTTTAATGATCCCATTCATGGTCACGTGGAGTTACATCCTCTACTCATCAAAATCATTGACACGCCTCAGTTCCAGAGACTACGAAACCTCAAGCAGCTTGGAGGGACCTACTTAGTTTTTCCTGGAGCGTGTCACAACCGCTTTGAACACTCGATCGGGTAAGTCTTCAGTTAGATACAATGATTGTTGATCACGGTGTATCTTGACAAATCATAAACCAGCTCTGCTTCGTAGTTAGATGCACATTAAGGAAAGTGGGTCCTCGAGGGGACAATGAAAATAGAAGCCCAATCATCATAACCATCATTGATTGCTAAAGCCAAAAATTGAGTCACCATTAGAGCGGTTCCACTATAATACCATTATCACATTGCCATAGATACTGAATAAACTGTGTTATCGGGTATCAGTGAGAATGCCATTCAGTAAATCAATCTGAAAACGTATCTTATCGTTATCTCCATAAAATCCACTTGTTTCAGGGTAATTTATATGGGAATGATAACATCGATAACAACAGTTTGAAGGAGCCAGAGAGCATAGTGGAGATCAAAGTTACATAATGGAGGGGTATTCAGGGTCCACCAGTAATCACTTTTAGGTTTCAAAATCTGTATGAAGTAAATCAAAGCAAAACTATTTACTGTATGAACAGAGCATGGATCTGCCCCCTCCCAAAAAAAAAAAAGAACATACTGGACTGTATGAGGTACAAACGCCAACAACCGGAGAAGTCAGACTGATTCATAATAACTACTCTTGGGTAAAGCAGGCAGAATTACAGCTGGTTTCTTTCTTTCTTTTTTATTGAGTTTTTAACTTGAACAGTACAAATCACTGAATAAAGGCAGAATATGTGATGTTTCACACTTAAATGTAATAGAAATCAAGTACATCCTCTGAAAATAACTCTGTGAGTCATGACTGTCTACAATGAGTGTAAAACCCGAGTCCCACTGTCTGTGATGCTTTCTGAGTCATATCTTCAGTTTGTTTATATCGCCTGGACGGCTGGCCAGCTCATCCCCCCCCCCTGTATAAAAGTTGTTTAATTGAGGGACTAGAGAAAAGAAGAATAACATACTGTACTCACTGCTTAACTGCCTTTCTAGATCACGCTCATTTTGGGTAAATTTACATGCAGTGTGAAGATACGAGCATAATAAAGATTAAGAGTTTGGTGCTGAACAAAGTTTAGACAGTACCTGTACCTTAATTCAAAGAAAAGCAGAAGGTCATGCAGAGGCCTCTGGGGTTACAGGATTTGTGTGTGTTTTATTTAACACATTTTCCATTACAGCACACAAACACACACATCATTAGGCTATATATTTACCAACAATGTGATGGATTTTACCCGTAATAGGTTATAAGGTTTTGCATTGAGAAAGTAGAGATATTTTGAGAGAAAGCGATCAGAACCATGGATCGCGCTCTGACATGCACTGACGTAAACAGACTGTCAAAGTCTGTGTCAAAAATGTGAAAACAAGCGTCAGGCTTGAGAGCAGAACACCTGTCTATTTAACCTTGTAAATGAACACGACTTTCACAAAAGACATTTTTTTTCGCTGCGACAACCTCACGAGTGCGCTCCTATTTAGGGCACAAGGTAATAGTAAAATGACACAGACACTGAAGAGGGCTGCAATATTTAACAAGAAAACATCATGTCCCGACTGAGAAAAAGGCCAGCTACACACAATCTGCACAAACCCCATCAAATGGTGATTATACTTCAACAAAAGAAGATGATTTCTGGCATATATCCTACATGTAAAAATCGACTCCACATCAAGAACATCTATGAATATAGCATGCCAGCAGACTGTGTAGAGCCTACAGTAGACACCAGAATGTCACTCGTTGTCAATGTAGGCTGTCATAGCTTCTATCCTTCTAACGTTACCCGCTGCATGGCTGTGGAAGCACGGGCCAAACTGCTGTTTTGCTGCTAGGAAGAAGCACGGGGGTCAACAGTGGGCTGGCGACTGTTTGTGAAACCAAAAGAGTCTCATTTATGGAGCTTTGCAACCCTCTCCTGTTCTTTTCCATTTCATCCAGACTCACTTTGACAGACTCACCCTGATTGACGTAGCTGCATAGTACTAGGGGGAATTGCACTTCCAAAAAGTTTATGAGTTTATGATGTTCTTTTTCTTTTCCAGTAATTATTTTGTTGTTGTTGTGTGTCGGTTCAGGGTGGGTCACTTGGCAGGCCGACTTGTTCAAGCTCTGAATGAGAGGCAGCCTGAACTCCTCATCTCTCGCAGAGACATCCTCTGTGTGCAGATCGCTGGGCTCTGCCACGACCTGGGTGAGTAACACGCCAACAGGTTTAAGACTGTCTGCAGTTGGTGTTGGCAAGCGTGAGAATGGAAATGAAACTCATTTGGTTTTAATCTTTTTGTTTTCCAGAGAAGAATCTAAAACAAGTAGCTTTGTGTAAAGTTCACATAAAAACAGATCAGATAACTTTTCTTCTCTCGCAGGGCATGGGCCATTTTCCCACATGTTTGATGGGATGTTCATCCCCAGGGCACGTCCAGGAATATCCTGGAAGGTAAGAAACCATGTGATTTACTCTTTCTCTGTACTCTGCCGTAAAAAAAAAAAATGCAAAGGTATAAACTCCTAACGCAACATATTGAGAGAGAGAGAGAGATGAATAAATACATTGAAACATATGGACTATTTTAAAGGGATAGCTTAGTACTTTTGAAGTGTGGTTGTATGAGGTTCTTGTCAATAGTAAATATATTAGCCACAGGAGATGCTGCTAAGTGTGGCCTCTTTCAGGGAGACCTGCTAAAGTGCCTGCACGGAAGCTGGACTTTATACACAATCTCCTATTGTTTCCTGATTGCTTCATATCCTTTGACTTAAAGAATATGCATGTCGTTGGCGTGTTATGTTTTCCTAAGTGTTTCAAACTGTTTTAATGATTCATCAGAAAACTATCTGGCAATCAAGGAGATGCAAGTAAACAACTTATGATTCACAACCTCAACCACTAGCTCAGACATGCACGGAGTCTAACCAAAGGTATTTGGTTTTCAAAGAGCGTAATTCTCCGAAAGAGGAAAAAATAGTTGATGTGATGTGGTGGCATACCTTCTTTTTTTTGCTTGGAAAATTGTTTTGGACCGGCTGATTTAAAACATAAAATATATATATATATATATAAAAGGCCTTGAGTTGTCTCTTCATACCTCTTGTAGAGATTCTGTAATTTTCAGGCAAAATCAAACTGATAAGAACAGCTGAGAACATGTTTTTGATGTTCTTTATACCCCTTACCTGCCATCTGGCAATCATTACAGATAAGAGAAGTAATCACTTTGTACCCTATCATGTTTGCGCTGAGGTAAGCTCTTTCTGTTTGAGTAATGAGTCACTGAGCTTTTGTTTTCAAGTCCAAATATTTCCATGTCCATGTATGTGAAAAGTTGTTTCTGTTGCAGCATGAGACCGCCTCTCTGGCCATGTTTGACTACCTGGTGAATGACAACGGCCTGAAGAAAGAGATGGAGCACCATGGCCTGGTGCTGCCCGAGGACTTGGACTTTATAAAGGAACAGATCGCTGGACCACAGGGCTCTGAGGCAGCTAAGGGCCAGAAGGTATCTGCAGGTTCTGCCTACATAAAACGAGTCCTTTTGTGTCCTGCTGCAGGACAAATGGATGATTTATTACATGAGTCCATCACCCCAGCTTTTAGAGAGAATCCGTAACTGGTTTGATGCTTTGAAATGCTTCTTTTTTTTTTTTTAGCAGGTATAGATTTTGGTCTGTAGGAAGATGATGTTATCACAACTGGTTCATTAGCTACATCATACCAGTGCTATCTGAGCAAAGAAAATGGGGGTTCCCGCAAATCCTTAAAAAGTCTTTAATAAGATTTTTGACAGCTCAGGATTTAGTGGTCAGTCCTGTGTCAGAAAACAGGAACAAATGGAGATGTATAAAAGACAAAATATTCTTCTGCCTAGAACTCCTCCGAGATCTTAAAATTGGACCCGCTGTTTATTTTCTCATGCTTTTTCTTGCATTTTTATCTCTGTAAATTCATTAACAACATGCGTGCCAATTAAAACTGTTCCTGTTTGGCTTTGTGTCGTCATCCCTGCAGTGGCCTTACAAAGGGCGTCGAGAAGAAAAGTCCTTCCTCTATGAAATCGTGGCCAACAAAAGAAACGGCATAGATGTGGACAAGTGGGACTACTTTGCTAGGTGTGGGTTGTTTTCCTGCTGTTTTTGTTTTAATTAAAACATTCAAAAGCATATGGTAAATGAATACATATATATATATTTTTATATATACTATATATTTTCTTATGGGCCTTTTGCCTCTATTGGATAGGACAGCTGAAGAGAGACATGAAATGTTGGGAGGAGAAAGCGGGGGATGACATGCAGCAAAAGGCCACGGTGGTCTGATTTGAACCCATGGCTGCTGCTGCGTCGAGGACTGTAGCCTCTGTAAATGTCTTTGATCTGTCTCTCCTTAGGGACTGCTACCACCTAGGAATCCAAAACAACTTTGACTACCGACGCTTCCTGAAGTTTGCCAGGGTGTGTGACGTGGAGGGGCAGAAGCACATCTGCACCAGAGACAAGGTGCCTAAGTTATTGAGGCTTATTTAAAAAGCACAGTCCATTGTGGTGGTTTGGGATGAGTAACATCCATGTCATTTCTCTGAACAGGAGGTGGGCAATCTGTATGACATGTTCCACACGAGGAACTGTCTCCACAGGAGAGCCTACCAGCACAAAGTGGGCCACATAATCGAGATCATGTGAGTAGCTCATTGCTCTGATGTCGTCTTTGACTCTGCTTTATGATTAACTCTCTTGAATGGTAAGAAAATGGTTGATTAGTTTGATTCCATTTTTCAGGATCACAGAGGCCTTTTTAAAAGCAGACAAGCACATCCCGCTGACAGGCTCAGGAGGGAAGTCGTTCACTCTCTCCACAGCCATAGACGACATGGTGGCCTACACCAAGCTGACAGGTCTGTGTCACAGCGTGCTAATTTGTGTTTAAGCAAAGAAACAGGATGCACAGAATAGACTAGTATGTGAGGACTCTTGATGACATGAGTGTGCAGTAAAATCAACAAGGTTATTGTTGCATGATTAATATCTAGGTTATTATATTGACAAATACCTAATGTGTGTTCCCACCTTATTAACAAACACAAGGAACAAAGAAATATTCCGACCATGTTTAAATAAAAGGGATCAGGGAGTGTACAGACATTGACATTCTTAAAAAGGCATCACAAGCTTGACAACATGCATTACTTTATGCCTGTTGGCTAGAGATATTTTAAAATAAACTATGATTATAAAATGACCAATAAGCAAAATGATTTTAAAGGTTCCCTTTCAATAGAAGCAGTAACCTCGTTTAACCTTTTTTTTTTTTTTTCAAATACTCTGTCAGTTTGGAAACACTTTTCAGAATGAGAACTTCATTAGGCTGCACTCACACCGGACCAGAGCACAGTTCCCTCTGTACATACACGAGCATATGTGTCCGGCACGCCTCAGGGCTTTTTTCTCCCAGTAAGGAAATAGAATATATGCAGTTTACATAATCCGTTCAAAATGAGTATACACTTTTTTTGAGCCCTTCAATGTCGGATCATCACTAAAGTGTCATACACAATGCTCACCTATCCTTTTGACACTTAAGGTGGATTGATTGATTCACAACGTCAACTCATGAAAACACTCCACTTAAAGCTGTCTGATAGTGGCCATAGCAGTATGGTGAATTTACTCCAGTATAGTATAACAATGGAGACAACACAGAACACAACCGCAACTTTACATTGAGTCTCTGAGCTTTTTTGAGTCGAGTTGAGGAATAAAGGTTCAAAGTCGGTTCTTGCCAAATCACTCAAGTTTCAACAACAAGCCTAAGCCTTTTTTCATGTTAGTTAGAAGTTGTGTGCATCTCATTATTTGTTGTACTTCCCAGTAAAAAGTGTTTATTCTTCATGAAATATTTACTTAATTCACATCCTAGTTCAGTATCCTTTAAATCCGGTTAGAAAATGAAACCATTCTTGTAACTCCTGCTGACATTTAGATTTCTGTTTTAGCTTTCTTTTGATGTAAAACCAGAACCTCTAGATTCAATATGACGTATTAAAGGTAATGATTGATTGAATATGGGCGTGTTCTGGTTTCTTCATCTGACCTGTCTCCCTCACTTTCTGTTGGACTTGTAGATTACGTGTTTGAGCAAATACTCAACTCCTCCAGTGATGACCTGAAGGAGGCGAGGCAGATTCTACAAAACATCGTCTATCGACGCCTCTACAAGTGTCTGGGCCAGACTCAGGCAGAGAAACCAATAACTGTCAACCAGGTGTGTATTCATGTGTTTAACACAACTGCTCGTCACAGAATAGAAACTGAGCAAAGACTTCTTTCATTCCCCTTTTTAATTGTATATTCTGACTGGGACTATTTGTACCTATCATTGAATACTAATCCACATAAAACCAAGATCCTGGATTTAAGTTTTTTTTTTAGGAGCTATGTCAACAAGTTTCTGTTGACCATGTCATCATTTCACACTCATATTTATGTTTTGATGAAGCTAATGAAGTACTTATGATTCAAATGAAATGTGTTTCTGTCCACAGAAGCTTTAAGATTTTAGGATTGCAAAGATAACATTTTGAACTTAACCGAAACATGCACACACCGTTCATTTAGCAGATGTGTGTGTGTCTGTTCGGTGGCGGCAGCACATGGTGTGTGTAGCCTGATTTATAATTGTCATGACAACAGATGAAACACCAAACAGGAAGCTTGAGTTACTGTAGTATATCTTTAGTTTTCGGTTCAAACACAGCTCTCTAGCAGAGTTTGTCTGTCCCATCTGCAGCTACAGACTACAGAAGGCTGTATTGTTATAAATGTTCACTTTCTGATTGATGTAATATGCAGCTGACACCTGCATGATAAACACACAGGGTGAGATGAAATGGAAGAAAGGTGAAGCAGCGTTTGAAACAAAGTCCCTTTACACAATGAAATATCAAAACTTTACGAGCCATCTGTTTAAAATCTGCGAAAAAATTCACGTAAAAATACATTTTTAAAGACTTACTTCCTGTTTGCATATCGGATCCCGGATCCGTTTCATCACTGACAGTGTAATAATTATGATTGTTTTAATATGTGTATTAAAGAAGTAATGATAGCACTAAGACTCAAAGGGTCAGATCTCATGTTACGTCCTCCATAAGATGAGTAATATTTTTTGACTCCTTCACTTATTGCTTTTCATCATCAAGGAGACACTTCGCCGCTGGGAAGAAAAATTGGCTAAGTCCATCCCCCAAAACGGCCCCCAGGACGTCTGTCTGCAGCCAGAGGACTTTGTAGTTCGTGTGAGTTTCTAATCCAATTTTTTATTATTATAAATCTCAGCTCTGTTGTAAGGTAATGGCTTGTCCTTGATGATGATCTCCCTCTTCTCTTTCAGGTCATTAAGATGGACTATGGGATGAAGGAACAGAACCCCATCAACAACGTGCGATTCTATTGCAAGGACGACCCTACCAAAGCTTTCCAAATTCGCAAGAATCAGGTCAGAACTAAGTCGAAAACCTCTCAGTGCGTGTGCTGGTTACTCACTGAAATGTCCGTTTTGTTTTTTATTCATTGGCCGTTCCTTGCTTCATACATGGCAGCCATTTATTCCAGCCCCTTTCTCAACTCTGCATTAAAAATAAACCATGCTCTCTTCTTTATTTTTCAGGTGTCTAAACTTCTCCCTGAGCAGTTCACCGAGCAGCATATCAGGGCCTACTGCAAGAAGACGGACAAAAAAAGCCTGGACGCTGCCAAGAAGCAATTTGTGCAGTGGTGCATGGACATGAACTTCTCAAAGCCTCAGGTAACATTGATCTGCTACACTGTGAATCATTTTAAAGTCATATGGGGTGACAATGTCTACCATGATAATTAGACCCTGTTGATCAGTTAGATAACATGTCTTAATAAAGGTGAAATAAAAACTGTTGGGATGGTAGAAAACCTTTCCTAGTACAAGTTTTTATGACATCCACTGATGTGCTTCAACCCTCTGGTGGCCAGACCCCGTATTTCAGTAGTATTCTTCACATAAATTCACGGACTGGTTGTTCAAAAGTAATCCAACAGGGTTAAAGCCATCCGATTGAATAAAATCTTTAAATTGGGTTGTTCCAGATAATCCAACTCTGGTTCTTATCTGGATAAAACCTCACACACTCACACCTCCAGTTTGTGATGTTATAAAAAGTTTCTGAGTAGGATTAGGATTCATTTTACTTTAATAATGTTTTTAAGCGATAAATATCTCATTTGAAGCAATTGTGAGGCTCTTTCAATTTGTGTGGATTTTTGCGCCCCCTTGTGGACAAAGTATGTAGTGTTTTGTCCCCTTTTTAAGCACTGGAAAGCTGGATTTGATAAACAGTTAAAGTCTGTAGTCTGTACCTATATGAGGTTTATTCCTTTCTGGTTTTTCTTTGAACAAACTGGAAAAAGTGAGCACAGTTACCTGACCCTTGGTAGACAAAAAGTGGATTACAAAATCTCTCATATTTATCCTGATAAAACTTTACTTAACTGGTGAATGTTTCCCCTCTTCTAGCTTCACAGTACTGTATGTGTACAAAAAAAAAGATCACTGTATTGTAGATTTAAGAGTAACTGAGTGCCATCCAGCAGTCCTGATGACTTCTTTAACATTTCTGTACACTCAACACTGCTCTGGTTAACAAGCTTGTCTGTTGTTTTGAATTCACTCACACAGGACGGTGACATAATAGCTCCTGAGCTGACTCCTCTGAAGAAGAGCTGGTCAAGCACCAACGAGTGGGAGCATGGTGGTATTTCCAGTCAAGGACGCAGTGCTAGTGCAAATGGACAAGAGAAAGCCAAAACTAAGCTTTTCAAGTAAGAGGAGGAGCACAAATGACCCCTCTGTTACACATGTTGTAGATGGTGGATTTGGAAGGTGTTGAGAATAGTAGTGAGAATTATATTTTTCTATGAGGCGAGTGTGTAGATGAGCACAGCAGATTTTAATAGCAATACTTCTATTGGAAGCTCAATGTTTACACCAAAAAGAATGTTTTCACAAAGGGGAATCATAAATGTATGTTCAGGGCTTATACTCAGGTTGTGGTTTTTTTGGGGGTTTTTTTTGAAGAAGATCCTTCTTTAGTATTTAACACATCCATAAGTTTTAGTTTGATCATTTTATCCGGGTTTTTATTTTAGACTAACTTCATTCTTAGCTGCATCCGTCAAATATAGATATACTGTTCATCATTAATAATGTACAATCATGTATTTGCACTACAAACAATAAATCAAGGTCAATCTAAATGTACTCTAAACACGAGCATAGTATGTTTCAGGGCAGTGTATGTTTGTATGTTTGTTTGTTTTTTTACAGCTGATGCATGTCGAGGCGGTATTTAATTTTGCTTTTTAAAAGTAAGTTACTCTCCATCCGAAACACAGTTTCTGACACTGAAAGTAAGCGTCTCTTTTTACAATTGGTATTTTCCAAACTTCTTACTTTTAGATGTATTTATATTTCAAACCTCTTTATTTAATGTTCTTACAGTAAGCAGCTGAAGTCATATGTGTGATGGTGTTTGTTTTTATTTACATTGGTGATCTGTGCAACATCTGATGACTGTTTTGGATACTATTTATCAAGCGTGTCTCATTTGAGGTTGTTTTGCTTCGCGTATGTAACGATATATCTATTTTTGAAGAATGTAAAAGAGAAACCAAAGTGTTTGTGGAGATCCTGTAAATAGTATAACTATTGAAAGGATTTCAAAATAAAACTCTTGGTCCTTGTTATTTCCTCCTGTAATCAAATGTTCTTGAACAACACAGGGTTTCTTTCTCACCATGGACAAATGTCTCATGAAGTATTTGTTTGATTCTTGTCTCCTATAAGCACAGGTGTGTGTTGAACCTCCAACAGTACAGATGTTGGTTAGTAGTCCCATTTACAGTAAGGGCATTTAAGTGCATAAATAATCCCTAAAGCCTCTTTACTGTAGTGGAATCAGTTTAATGCTGAAATATGAGCGTTGGCTTGAGGATTGAAACTTCAACTGGAACCAAATTAGTTTATCAATGATAGCTCATCAGTAAAGGTTCCCTTTTAAAAATCAACAGATATTTTCTTTTAATAAATTGGTGATGCCTAGTGAGAGTAGTGTGCAGGATTTTTTCTTTTCAAAGTGATACAGTAGTTTGATGACCTACGATCTACTTCATGAGATAGTTGGATGTGCTTACACCTCCTTTAAAACTTTTAAAAAATGTCTTTAAATAATAAATCCATTCATGAGAAAGCACCTGACTCAAAAAGATCTGGACTTACTGGTTGACTCACTTTAAGAATGTTTTGGCAGATGACTTTGGAGGCATTCATAACCTCTGAAGTGTGTCATAAACCAACGGCTGGCAGCTCCATATATGAACAACAGTTTTGTTCTGCCTACTCCAATCAGCCCTCCTCTTTAAACAAGCAAGTATGTGGCAGATTGGCAGTACACAGGATCCCTCTTGTGGTACACAGGGAGTCTCTTATAAGAAAGTCTCCGATTTTTATTTTTATTTTTTATAAAGATGTACAAACGAAATTCTTGACAAGTAAAGCTGTGATGGCAAGCGGAGGAAGCATATATGCGGTTAAAGTCTTTTGCTTTTTTGGCTCTGAACGGGAAATAATAGAAAGAAAAGGTCGGCGGATACGTCGAGCAGCACAGCAGAAAGTGAAGTCAGCGACAGTGAAACCAGCACAAGTGCAAGAGGTGATGTTAGCAGTGCCAGGGGTGCTTCAGCACCTACTAGCAACAAAATGACGCACAACAGTTTTACAGAATAGCAAAATATATGACTTGAGTCAAAATCCAGTTTGGATTCGTTTGGAGTGGCACAGAGGAAGCCCAGTGCGTGGTGTGGTCAAATAATATGCATATCAGGATAAAATGGCCTCTTGTGTAAACTGTAATTGTAGTGAAATAACCCTGCGCTACTGTATTTCAAAGTTGGCAATAATGGTGGTACTTGGAGAGACACATGTTTTCTGTGGAGGCACTCATAGTGAGAAATTTGAGAACCACTGATGTAGGGCATAGCTGTTTGTTTGCATAATTAAACATGGAGTTACTGATTATCATTACTGACAGGAAGTGACACTTTTTCTGCTTCTTGCTATTACTGCAAAACATGTTGGTGCGATTTACAACCTAAATCCACTGGAAATGATTTTGTAAAGAACCTTCAAACAACCCTGATAGCTTTATTAAAACATTAAAGACATTAAATGCAAGTTACAGTACTGCATACATTTCTGTTGAAAAAATAGATTGCTTTTGCCTTGCAGACATTTTGTTCTTGGTTGGCTTTCAGTGCATGTGTCGGAGCAGGGCTGAGATGAAGGCTGTTGAAAAGACAGAAACTAACAAAGTTCACTGGATAAACTCTGCTTTCAAGAGGACAGCATAGTTCTGTATATGTTTTCTGTTCATCTGTTTTCTGTAAATGCTTTATTCAGTACTGGTTTTAAATATTTCTTCACTGCACAAACTACAGTCAACTCTTGCAAAGATTAAGATTAGTGTTCGTTTTAACGTTCTGAACACAGTACAAATGTAACAGCGTTGAAACAACAACAACAAAAAAACTACCTTACACAATGCCTCTAAAAAATCAACTAATCAGTGACATAAATTATGTATAAATATCTTTAAGAATAGATTTTAACAGAATTCAAATCAGTTCTCTTGAAATAAACAAATCCCTCCTGGAATTGCAGATTTAGAAGTCAAAAAGTGAGTAGGAAACAGGTGACATGAAGTCATGTTCAGACTAGTGGTGGAGCAGTGAAGTGGTTATCCTTGCAGCCTCAGCATCAACAGCACACGGCCCATGATGAGATATACCCCAGGTTTACTCTATTTCTTCCATTCTGTAGGGATGATCAAAGCAAACATCATCACATGTGCAATCCACAAGTCTCTATTCTCTCTGCAGATGTTCACCAGGCAAGGCAATACTTTATATACTTTGGCAGTTTAAAAGGCCATGCAGAATCTTTGACTTTTTTTTAATACTACTGAAACAAGGTACTGACTGAAACGCAGTGCTCACCTGAGAGTCTCTAGTCGGCAATGTGGACTCTTCAGGACCTCAGACAACGGCTTTACATCTGATTCCTGCAGGTTGTTTCTACTCAGATTCAGCTCCTGCAGATGGGACGGGTTGGACTTCAGAGCTGCTGCCAGAAAAGCACAGCCTTCACCCGTGATCTTACAGCGAATCAACCTGCAGAGATGAGAGGATTATTTTTCCATTTTTGTTACATATAGTATGACAACTGTCATTAAAGCATATCAGTCAATATATTATGTCCCAAAAACTGAAGTTACTCCAGTAATTTTATTTTTAACAGTCTGAATAAAGTAATCTGAAATTAGTGTAATGTAATGTAGTCTTAATTTAACAATGAAAAATAGCTCAGTTGAAATTCATCATGTCAAAATGTGAAGCATTGAGAAGTACAAGCAAGATGCAAAAAAACATTTCTAACTGTAAAATCCAACATTACATTATACTCTCCTTGTTCTCCCGAACTTCTTTGAAAAACTATTTTTTCTTTAGAGGAAAAAGGGGATTTCTTACCTCAGGGTCTCTAGTCTACAATATGTCCTCTCCAATCCAACAGACAGCTGCTTTATCCCAGAATCCTGTAGGTCGTTATCACACAAGTCGAGCTCTCTCAGATTGGATGAGTTGGACGTTAAAGCTGAGGCCAAAGAAGCACAGCAGTTGTCTGACAACCAGCAGCCCCTCAATCTGAATAAAATGATAAAAAATGTCAAAAGAAAATATGTTACTGGATTAAAAATGCTGCTTTTAAACATCAAGACTTCCATGATTGGAAACAGTGCATGAGGGTGGTGGAGGGTTAAATGAATTAAGTATTTATGGAATTTGATAAAAAAAAAAAAAAAATCCTCCTTTACCCCAGAACCACAGGTTCTCCATGATAGCACAGTTAAATTATATGCTTTATCTGAAATGAGGCTAAAGATACTAAAACTAAAAAAACTATTTTTTTTATTTTTGTGGCATTAGTTATTGATTGCTCCCATTTTTTATTTTGGTGCAGGGTGTCAACTGTTTAATTATGAACTGAGAAAACTACAAGCATGGAGGAATTTAACATGTTTTAAAATTGAATAATGATAATAATAACAATTAGAAGAAGAACAACAACACGTAGAGGAAGACGTGACTGGAGAGGTCATTTTTGGAATGCTGTTTATCCCTTATTATCTTAACTTCTTCAAGTTGTATCTCAACAAAGCTCAAAGTATTCAATATGTTAATTATTACATTAAGAATAGTATTCAGCTTTCCTGTATTGTGTGAATGACCAAATAATGACTCTATACTGATGTAAAAAAAACCCATTAAATTATTCATTTATTTCTCATGTTCAGGTAAAATGAAAAATGATGAATGACTGACCTCAGAGCCTCCAGTCGACAATGTTGACTCTGCAGTCCAACACACAGTAGCTTCACTCCTGAGTCCTGCAAATCATTATTACTCAGTTCCAACTCTCTCAAGCAGGAGGGGTTGGACTTGAGAGCCGAGGACAAGGCAGTACAGCAGTCCGCTGTAAGGCCACATCTATCAAGCCTGTAGTGGAAGAATTGATAATAAAAAGAGAGTTGTTGTTGTTTGTATGGGGTACTTGTAAATAGGAAGTGTATTCGCCATGGGAGATGTCGGTCAGCACATCCCCCTTAATTGAAAAACCGGCTTGAGTGCAGGCACAGAAGCTAGGCTATACATCACTGCAGATGGGGCCATTTGAACCATGTAATTTAGCTAAATTTAAGAAAGAGCAACCTAAAAATCATGTTGATGAAAGTGTATGCTATATTTAGAAACTTTTCAGAGCTTAACTTTTCCATCAACAAGCACTTTAGTTTCAGTGCTACTTCAGCACACCATATAATAGAGACTTATGTGGTTAGTCTATACAGCCTGTACATGTACAACATGTACCTCCTATAAACAATCTTAGATTTTTTTAAAAAGCAAACTATCCCAGAGCTAAACCTTTAAATCTGAAATGGTGAAGTAAATAAAAACACTGCCTCATCGTAGTTTGGGACAATATTTTCCTGGCTTCATAAAATGAAGGACCTACATTGAAATAAGGTCAACACATTGGTGGTAAATTGGGATCAATCATTGTTGTCATTGCTACCCGTGAACATTTACTTAAAACTCTGAAGCACACGACCAGTGCTAAAAGCACAGAGTAATATGTTAACAATAATGCTCTTCTGTATTTAACTATAGGCAAAGGAACAATGAAAAGAAGAGGCTCAGTGCTCCAATGACTGCATGAAGTTGTGTTTGTTTGTTTATTTGGATCTCCATTAGCTTCAGCATAGCAAGAAGCTATTCCTCCTGGGGTCCCCAAGTAGGAGATGATAGGTTGAAAATATCAGGGAAAATGGTGGTGTAATAGTAAAAAGGCATCAATAAATCATTTCATTTATATTTAAATAGCCTCAAATCATAACAACGGTTATCTGAGGACACTTTGAAAAAAGAGCAAAAGAGAAAAAAATACAAATTCATCAACTTCAGGAACCCATCAAGAGGAAAATATATTTTCTGATATACATATGAAGTCCACAGAAGTTAACTCACCTCAGAAGTTTCAGCTCACATTGAGGAGACTCCAGTGCAGAAGACATCACAATGACTCCTTGATCCTTAATTTTGTTTTTACTCAGATCTATCTCTTTCATATGTGAGGGGTTGGACTTTATAGCTGAGACCAAATGCCCACAGCTGATATCTGACAGCCTGCAGCAACTTAATCTAAACGAAGAAGCAAAAAGTATACAACATATTTGAGATAGAATTTCATTTTGTTTTTTAATGTATTTAGACCACAAGGTGTTTTCATTCTTCATTCTCCTGTCTCTTGCTCCAATCTAAAGCCAGCATGATTGTGGTTTTCAAAAACAAAGTTATAAGTATGGATCAGAATACCAAATAAGCAGAAAGACCCCAACAGTCCATGCTACCCTCCAAGTGAAACAACATATAGTACAAATCAATCTCCTGAAGGTGATAAAGTTGATCAAGTGCGGCCTTACCTCAGAGTTTCCAGACGACAGTGTGGACTCTCCAATCCAGTAGACAGCATCTTAACCCCTGAATCCTTAAGGTAGTTGTTACTTAAATCCAGCTCTCTCAGACAAGATGAGGTAGACTTCAGTGCTGATGCCAAAGACTCACAACAACTTTCTGATAAACTGCAACTCTTCAAGCTGCAAAATATCAACAAAGGAATGGTCACTTCCTTGTCACTATCAACATTGCAGTGCCCTTATACAATAATGTGTGACTGAAAGTGTTCTCTGAAGATTATCTGACCTTAAAATCTCCAGTCTACAGTTGGGACTTTTTAGTCCGACACACAGCGACGTCACTCCTGAATCCAGCAGATAATCGTTTTCACTCAGGTCCAGCTCCCGCAGGTGGGAGGGGTTTGACATCAGAGCTGAGGACAGAACTTCACAATGCCACTCAGAGAGTCCAGAGCAAGAGAGCCTGCAAATACAATGTGTTTAATGTCAGTACCAACTGATGCAGCACAGGCCCTGAGCATCGCTAAATTTAAATTTAAAGAAGCATTACTTCTAGTACCTGTACTACTACCAGTTGTTATAAAATAATAATAAACGTTTTCTGCCAATCTGGCTACACAGCGGTACAAACATAGTGTACTGAGTTTTAATAAAAAGGGTATATTTTCATATTGAACGACCTTCAATATTCATCATTAAGAGACTGGTGCCCTCCTTTACATTCGCCCTTTTGTTTCTGTTTTATTGTATATGTTGTGTTTTAAGCGTAATTAATGTTTTTCCTTAAATGTGCCAACGAGTGTAAATTTGTTACCTTGTGTTTGAAATAGTACAAATTTGCACATGCAAGTCGAAGAAAAATTACTGCTTTTTGCATGTAAAAAATAGACCATGTATTTTCTTTTCAGGGTATATCTTAAAGGTCATGTATTATGCAAAATACACTTCCCCATGTTTTTCTAACACTGATATGTGTATCTAGTCTGTCTACAAACCCTCAAATTATGATAAAAGTCCATCCTCTCAGTCCTTTGCATGCTCCACTTTTCAGAAAATGTGTGCTCAAACAGGCCGCTCTTAAATTTTCCCTTCATGACATCACAAAGGGCAGTAACCCCTCCCCCAGGTGGGGATGCTCCCACAGCTAGGTGTTTATTCTGCCTCTGAGTCTACCTTCTCCCTGTAAACATTTTGGCATGGTGCTAGAAAGCCCAAGCCACCCAAGTCCTTACAGAGGGGCGTGGTCAGACACAGCTCACTTGGATTTAAAGCTACAGAAACAGCCTGTTCTGAGCAGGCCTGAAGTAGAGGGGTTTATAGGCATGATCAAATACAGGATTGGGAACCTCTGAGACTTATTTAAACGTGTTAAAAAAGGAGAATAATGTGACCTTTAACTCATTTCCACAATTAGCAATGTCTTTGAGAGAAAAAACATCAAAATTCTACTTAGCCTTTTTTTTTTATGAGAGAAGATTAATATCTGAACTGTTGCAGAAGTCGCATCAAGTTAAATAAACTACTGATATCTGTATCCTGACTTACCGAGCATGTCTGCAGTTTCTCACAGCTGGGAGCAATCGCCGTCTTCCATCACCAGATGAATTATATTTCTTCAGGTCCAAAACATCAAGAACCTCTTCTGACATCTGCAGCATGTAGGCAAGAGCAGAGCAATGGGTCTTGGTAAGTTTTTTCTCCGATCTGTTCTCTGACTGCAGGTACTCTTGAATCTCCTGATGCACTGAGTGGTCATTCATCTCCATCAAACAGTGGAAGATGTTGATGCATCTGTCAGGAGAAATATCATAAGCATTCATCTTCTTCAGGTTGCTTATAGCATTCTGGATGCTTTGTGGACTGCTTGCCGTCCAGCCTACCACACTCTCAAGGAGACGATGGTTGGACTCTAATAGCAGGCCATGAAGGAAGCGAACAAAGAGATCCAGATGCCATTTCCACTGTTCAGAGATTTGTCCACAACTTTGCTGAGAAAGGTATCCAAACTTGGGTCATAGCTATTTCTGTCGCAGTCTTCTCCCAAGAAAGTCACCAGCACGTCCACATCCTTGTTGAGATAACAGTTAATCATATAGACCGCAGCAAGAAACTCCTGAATACTTAAATGTACAAAACAGTAAATCATTTTCTGAAAGAGTACACACTCTCGTTTGAATATCTCTGTGCAGAGTCCTGAGAAAACTAAGGCTTCTCCGACATCGAGACCACATCGATCCAAGTCTTCCCGGTAGAACATGATGTTCCCATTTTCCAGATTTTCAAATGCTAGTCTGCCCAACTTCAGAAGGACTTCCTTGTCAGTCTGCATCTGCACCTCTTTGATGAATTCATGCTCCGTATTATACTTCTGTGTTTTCCTCTTGGTCTGTACCAGCAGAAAGTGTGTGTACATCTCAGTAAGAGTCTTTGGCAACTCTTTTTGGTCGGTAGTCAACATGTGCTGCAGGACTGTGGCAGTAATCCAACAGAAAACTGGGATATGACACATAATATAGAGGCTCCTGGACGCCTTGATGTGTGAGACCACTCTGCTGGACGTAGACTCATCACTGAATCTCTTCCTGAAGTACTCCTCCCTCTGAGTGTCAGTAAATCCTCTTACTTCTGTCATCCTATCAATATATGAAGGAGGGATCTGATTGGCTGCTGCAGGTCTGGAAGTTATCCACAAGAGGGCTGAGGGAAGCAGATTGCCCGTGATGAGGTTTGTTAACAGCAAGTTGACCGATGATTTCTGGTTGACATCTGACACAACCTCTTTGTTCTGGAAATCCAACAAAAGTCTGCTCTCATCCAAGCCATCAAAGATGAACAAAACTTTACAGAAAGCGAGCATTTGTGCTGTGACCATGTGTAGCGTTGGATGAAAATCATGAAGCAGTCTCAGGAGACTGTACTTCTCCTCTTTGATCAAGTTCAGTTCCCTGAAAGAAAGTGTCAGTAAATCCTCTTACTTCTGTCATCCTATCAATATCCTATCAATTATGAAGGAGGGATCTGATTGGCTGCTGCAGGTCTGGAAGTTATCCACAAGAGGCTGAGGAAGCAGATTGCCCGTGATGAGGTTTGTTAACAGCAAGTTGACCGATGATTTCTGGTTGACATCTGACACAACCTCTTTGTTCTGGAAATCCAACAAAAGTCTGCTCTCATCCAAGCCATCAAAGATGAACAAAACTTTACAGAAAGCGAGCATTTGTGCTGTGACCATGTGTAGCGTTGGATGAAAATCATGAAGCAGTCTCAGGAGACTGTACTTCTCCTCTTTGATCAAGTTCAGTTCCCTGAAAGAAAGCAGAATCACAAGGCTGACATCTTGATTTTCCAGGCCGTGTGCCCAATCAAGAGTGAACTTCTTCACTGAGAAGGTTTTTCCAATACCAGCAATGCCATTTGTCAGGACTACTCTGATGAATCCCCTTTGGCCGGGTAAGACCTTAAAGATGTCGTGGCATTTGATTGGAGTTTCACATAGGTTCTCATTTTTGGATAGTGTCTCAAGTTGCCACACTTCGTGTTGGATATTAACTCCTTCAGATTGTCCTTCAGTGATGTAAAGCTCAGTGTAGATACTGTTCAGGTGGATGCAAGTTCCCCTTTCAGCAGTCCCTTCTATTGCAAATTCACATCTTCTTCTGAGACTTATCCTATGAGTGTCTAAAATCTCCTGCATACTGCCAGTGCCTGAAACATAAGCAAACCAGATGTTGATCAATTCCACAAGCTCCTGGTGTGAAATTGCCACAAAATGTCACAAAAACTTTAACCCTTGACTACCAAACTTGAGCCAAAGTGAATGTTTGCAAAATCTAAAGATATTACCAACAGGAGTTCCTGTGATATCAGTAGGATGTTATAGGAAAGCCCGCATCAGTATGGAGTCATAAAAAACTGTTAATTTAGTCTTCTAGCGTGAAGTCAATATTTCACAATGTCTGCCTAAGTTTTGTTTATCCAGGGACGTGGCCAGATCGGTGGCCAGGTGTGGCATGGGCCCCCCTAGAAATCTGATTGGCCACCCCAGGTGTTAGCCCAAAATTCCTAAACTGTGATTGTCTGTTTGCCTTGTCAGAAGTGGGACTTGTGTTAGAACCAACTGTACTGTACTGTATTTATATTTGGAAAGGCTGCTAGTATTGTTTACATATCAATGTCTATTTCACAAGTCAGGTGCATGAGAAAGTAATGCACTCTGTCTTACTTGCAATGAACTAACTGGCAATGTGTTGGGACCAAAACATTGCTGATTAATTTGCAAGTCAGACTGGGCAGGAGTTTCCATGCAAATATTTTAGTACTTAAAATTCTGACTTTAACATAAATCTTCTTATCGTGACATTAAAACATTAAGCTAATGTATCCATTATCTTGTGTTATAAAGTAGATATAATAGGTGAAGTTAGAAACAGTACATCATTGATATTTACTGTGTGTTTGTGTACACATCGCAATTCAGGCCACTCCTGCGTAAGTCAGTGCCCCAGTTAGGCCAGCCCAGTCAGAAAGTCTGGACACGCCTCAGTGTTCATCCCTACCAATTTCACTTCTCTTTCGGTCCTTTCAGCCAACAAGATGATTCCCTCAGGCTCTTCCTCCTTTCCTTTTTACCATCTCAGGTCCAGCCATTTGCCTTTACAGCTATTTCAAAAATCTGACCCTTCTCACCTATGTGTTCCATAATCAACCGGTGAACTCCTAAACCTGCATAAAATGATGGTGTTTCACATTAGCTGCTTTCCTATTGATCTGTAATTCTTTTTATCGATAAGTGAAATCAATAATGGAAAACGCTAGAGAGACACAAAAGCTTCAGTAACATAAAAGATACCTTGTTCAAGTCGACTGTAATTGCATCTTTTTCCACATTGCGGACAAGGGGGGTCTCCTGTTGAATTGCAGTCTTCCCAGTGTGAAGCAATACACTGTTTGCAGATGTAGTGTCCGCAGCTGGTATATTGTGAAGGCCTCAGGACCTCCTTGCACAAAGCACAGCAGGGCAGCTCGTTCTCGATGGCAGCGTAAGTCCTCTTCCTCTCTCTGTGATGATAAAGGCAAAGTATTTTTAAATTCCCTACATTATACCCCAGACCCAAAGACTAACAGTTTTAGTTGTTTTTTGGTGTCTTATCATGTGTACTGGTGCTCAGTATAAACATCATATTCTGATTGGATCCATTCTTAAAATATCCACTTACAGATCCATTACAGAGAAGCAGACGTTTACTGAAATGTTTGTCACTAAAACAGTTAGGATTCACTGAGCAATAAAGTAGGAACTACATGAGATTGTTACGCCTTGGAGAGTTAAAAAAAAAAGAAAAGAAGGATGGATCCCATTACCTGGGGGTTAACAAGAGAAACAGAAGTCACTGTTTCTTTAATGTTTGTTAATATCCATGAAGATTCATCTGTTTTCTATTACCAAAGTGAATGTCTATTAGTTAGCAGATACTTAACAATGTCTTCCCTGTCAGAGTTTTCCCACAATTTGTTCTAAATCCATAAAGGCCAAATAAGAGATGACAGGAATCACAAAATGGTGCATGATATATTCCACAGGGCAGAAAGCTGAAGTAGAACTCTTACTTTGTGGCAAACAGTCCAGGTTCATTACTGAAGGTGAGAGGAATGTCTTTTGAGTGGTCACTCTTTGGGGAAAGACACGTGGAAACTGGAGAGTCTGCTCTGTCCTCTTCGTGCTCTTGTGTCCTTCCTGACCTCATCTTTGGTCTAAAATTAAAATGAGTAAAACACAATGAAAACGGTTCACTACTGATTCCATGTAGAAGAGAAAGGAAACATGCAGTTTATACTTCATAATTAAAATTGACATTCAACCTAGTTAATTTAGCTACAAATGTTCTCTATGTTATTAATCAATAGTGGTTGAAGAGATAAAGAGGTAAATGAAAACGCTGATACAGATAATCAGCCAAATGCCAAATATCAGCCCCCAATAATCAGCCAGGCAGAAAACTGGCTGACCCTTGGTTTTGTGTTACAGTATGTCCTAGATACTTGTTAGGAAAGCCTTACGGTCTATACAACAGTTCTAAATCAGTGGTTTATGGCTGGTTAAAAACTCTGAGATCAACTTTAAAATAGAAAAGACAAAAAGTGCTGCCTCAGAAGCAAAGACAACATCAAGGAATCTGTTCGCTGAGATGTTAATCGGCATATATTTTGATTCCAGTTTTTTTCTGGGTATAAGTGGTTTATCAGTCAGTAATTACTCTATATTTTAATCCTTTTCAAAAAATGTTCCCTCTTTCACTGCAGGATCTAGAGAAAGATGACAAAGAAAAACGAAATGTGGCCTTAAGTAGAACTCTTACTTTGTGTCAAACAGTCCAGGTTCATTACTGAAGGTGAGAGGAACGTCTTTGGAGTGGTCACTCTTTGGAGACAGACACGTGGAAACTGGAGAGCCTGCTCTGTCCTCCTCGTGTTGCTCACCAAAACTCATCTTTGGCCTTAAATTAAAATCAGTAATAATAAATAACACACAAAGAAAACATTACTACAGAATCCATGTAGATGAAGTCAGTGTTGGGGAGTAACAGAATACATGTACTGGAGTTATGTATGAGAATAAAAATTATGTAACTGTATTCTGTTACAGTTACAATTTAAACAGATGGTATTCAGAATACAGATACATGGTTGAAATCAATGGATGACGTGACGGTACTTCACTGTTTCACGAAAAGGGAAAATTGGCCAACTCTTCTCTTTTTTAACCAAGCAAAACATATTTTGCGTTAACTTACCCTTATAGTCTTTGTTCCACTACAGCAAATTATAATATATTGCACTTTCAGGGAGACTTGGGCCTAACACATTCAGCCAGTTGGAACAGAAGATCACACCAGAATAGGCCTGTTTAGTAAGCAGGATGTGATTGCAGCATTCCTACACACTTATAAAAATGCATTTCAATGTGGAAGTAATCCAAGTGTTCAGAATACGTTACTCAGATTGAGTAATGCAACGGAATACATTTTAAAAGTATACTTCCCAACACTGGATGCAGTTCACCCTTAAATGTTTTGTTCATTGTAATTACAGTCAGTTAACAAGGAAATTGATCATTTCCTTTTACGTTATAGCATATCTAGTTTTGCAAAAGTAAGCTTTATCCCAGGCTACTGTAAGTACATGTTTCTAAAGGCCAAACTGTGTTATTACACAGTGATATACGCCACTCTTAGCCTATAGGCCTAATCGATTTATGAAGTTTAAATTTTTTTTTTTTACAATAAATGTCCTTATTTAGGCTACTGTGTTTCACATGACACGTTTCACTTTACATTCATCACACTACATTACATCTTAGTTAATTTAACCTTGGCCGTTACATATTAGACTATAAGGTCAAATAGGATGTATATGTCATGGTCTTATAATACAACAGACCTTTCAGTAGCATAAAAAGTAAACTGAAACCAGCAGCGTCCTGACACCTCGGCCTGGCCTACCTGTCTCTGGACACGGTTGTTATATCCTTACTTTCCATCTTCTATTCGCATGCGTGGCCCACTTTGACGTGTTGTATTCCCGTTACCCCGTTATGTTCACAACTTTTTCAGAGAGAAACAGGAGAAAAAAAAACTTTGAAAAATGTGGTACAGTTGCATTTCCGCGGTCTTCCACCATATCTTTACGGTAAATAGAGCAGGTAGGCATAACCACACGCACACAGCAAACACACACATACACTGAAATGTGCTTTCCTGTGTGATAGTGTGATTTCGGAAACTGCGTTTTCCCTCTGACGCTTAAATATACCGTAATGATGAGAATACTCCATCTTGACAATGCGAAGACACTCCTTCGCTTTCATCAGCCGGTTTCTTCACGCTGTTTTTACTTCCTGGATTTGTTATTCCTGACTGGGCGAGCCTATTCATTTTGTCTCTTTAGAATGCATACAAAAAAGTAGGCTACTGAAGGCTTTATTGAAAATGTAGGCTACAGTAACGTTATATTTGTTTATCATGCACATTGTAAGTGGTAGGCTACAGGTGTAGACTTATGAATTGGAGCTTAACTTTTTTTTGTCTATGTAGTTTATGAAAAATATTTTGAGGGTATTTCTTAAATCATTATCTGAAAAGTAGGTTACTCGTGATATAAAATAAAAGGGGGCAAGCTAGTTCAATATATCCCTCTTGCGGTAATGTGGCCAAAAGGCTACAAAAAAGCAAATGATTCCAAGGTGTACAGAAGCCTAATGTTGCACTGTTTCAATGCTGTCATACGCACATTATCCATCAGTGTGTTTTCTTATTAAAGCAAACCCATTTATGAGCCAAAAATTTCCCAGACTCAGCCTGGTTACAATGACTGAATCTTTTCTATTGTAATAAAAATGACTTTTTTTTCTTTTTCCAATGTCCCCTGAATTGAAAAATAACACTTCCCTTTTCCTTTTCACCAGTGAAGGGAAGTTCCCACTTGACAACCACTAACTGGAAAGCAACAGGCACAAACCAGTAATCTAACCTCTGAATTTAGCAAAGTCATAAGATCATGTTCTGATAGACGTACACACATACCCACCTACTCTTTGGTAAGAGTCCAATTGTCCGGCCAAGACACTTCTAGGAAATGGTCTTTATATAGCACACATGTTGTAATTGCCCAGTGTGATGATTGGGATTCTATAAAAGAACTGCTCCAAGAGAAATAAACAGATCCTCGATTCACAGGCCTTACGTCTCTGTCTGATTGTTCAAGAGCATTTACTCTTCTACACTGGTACCCAAATAAAGCCCACATCACATCCTGTCACAAAAGTTTGATATATTTCTTAAAGAAAATCAGGTCTGGACTTGGATTTCAGTTCTTTAATTGTTTAATTGTAATAGCGCTGCAGAATCGCTGTGTGTGTGTGTGTGTGTGTGTGTGTGCATGGTGTACGCCTGGTAAAGCTGCTAAACATGAGACAAAGATTAAATTGATGGCCTTACAACTTAACTTTACACAGTCTGTTTTGAATATTAGCTGGATGTAGGCCTACACTTCCTGCTTGGTCACTCTGTCATTTTCTCTTCTTAGTTTCATATGTCACTGTCCTCTTCTGTCTGTCATTGTATCATCAAACCGTACTGAGACAGCCTAACTGGCTGCTTTTTTATAAACTGAGGGCTTGTGTGTGAACTATAGCGCCTATAGCCATGCACATTTCTCTGCCCACTGCCAAAGTTACATCCTGCTGTAATGCTGTCATGCCGAGATGTGTACAGGGGAAAGAAGTAATTCTCCCCGTTGAAAGCTAACGTGTATGGAAGTCCATTTCCGCCAGTTAAAAAAATAAAAATGAAAACTTGGCTTTGTTGAGATTTTTTTTAACCCATTAACGGTCGAAATTATGAGCTAATGAAGTCATAATTATGAGATAAAAAGTCATAATAATGAGATAAAAAGTCATAATTATGAGATAAAAAGTCATCGTAATGAGATTAAAAAAAAGTCATAATTATGAGATAAAAAGTCATAATAATGAGATAAAAAGCCAAAATTATGAGATTAAAAAGTCAGGGACACCATCTACTACCGTGAACTTTAGCCTACAAAATAACTGTGGTACACTGACAGTGACTTTTTTATTATGACTTCTTACCTCATCATTTAGACTTTTTATCTCATAATTTCGATTTTTAATGGGAAAAAAAAAATATCAACAAAGCCAAGTTTTCATTTTTATTTTATTAACTGGCGGAAATGGGCTTCCATAAATGTGCGAATAAATCAACCTTTGAAACTTTGAAAAAGTGACATACTGTTGCTTTAACTATTAAAGCCGTAGGGTGGCGGTAGCGCTACTGAAGCGATGCCGACTGCCGTAAAATTCCAACAGAGAAGAAGAAGAAGGAAAAAAGCGACGACATCAAAAGGCGTCTCTGAGAGCTTGGAGCTACTGCTACCTAATGTTTTGATGCTTTCCTTAATCTAAAAAGATCTAAAAAAAAAAAAAATGCCTATGAAAGGGAGGTTTCCGATCAGGAGGACTCTGGAATATCTCCAGAAGGGCGACATCATCTTTAAAAACAGAGTGAAGATCATGACTGTTAATTACAACACACATGGAGAGCTGAGCGACGGAGCAAGGTCAGAGCAAACTTCATCATCCATTTATTACAGAATCCAGAGGCTTTAAAAAAAAAAAAACACAAAGAACAGTCGTGCAAGGTCCTTACTGTCTCGTATTGTTCTGCTTTAAAAAATAAATCTACGAAACTGTAACGAATATATCATGTTTAGACTTTGAGTAGTTGTAATCTGTGTCTGTAAATATGCGTCTGAGATGTGTGTGGTCAATAAAATATACGCTTTCAAACTCTTCCAGCACTTACTGTTCTGTAAGGTATTATAAGTGTTTTATCTACTCTCTTCTTTTGTTTTGCAGGAAGTTTGTGTTCTTCAATATTCCTCAGATACAGTACAAAAACCCTTGGGTCCAAATAATGATGTTCAAAAATATGACACCAGCACCGTTCTTAAAGTTCTACCTGGGTGAGTGGCCTTGCACTGGTTTTTTTTAAATAGTATTGATGTAGCTGTCATTGTGTTGTACCCGGGCTGATCTCCCTCTTCTTTTTTTTTTTTTTTTCCCAGATGATGGGGAACAAGTTCTGGTGGATGTTGAAGGGAGGGACCACAAACAAATTTCACAACATGTGAAGAAGATTTTGTGCAAATCAGAGTAAGTTATTCCTATAGCCAGTGAAATCTAACTTGCATTACTAAATGTGTCATTATGGTTAGAAAAAAAATACACTTTTCACTATGTATTGTAACATTCATGATATTGCCGTTGCTTGGCGCTCATGGTATTTACACTAAACAATGTTAAGAGTATTAGTCATTTGGACTTCATTGTTTATTCAGTTCACTATATCAGATTAACCGTGAATGCTGTAAAACATCCAATTTAGGATAAATGCAAGACATGACTGACAGTACAACAGTAGTCCCGCTTTAACAATAAAGGTGCAGCTAAATTAAATATTTTACCCTAGTACTTTTGAAATGCTGAAAAATATTTCTGTTAAAGGCTCCATTCTGCAGGGATCAAAAGATTTATAACTGTATTTAATTTGTCTAATTCTTTTTTTGCAGAGAAGTGTTACAAGGTGAAGCTCAAGAAAAGATGCAAGCCTCCAACCCAGCCAACTTTGGGCCAAAAAAGTACTGTCTGAGGGAGTGTATCTGTGAGGTGGATGGCCAAGTGCCGTGTCCCAGCACCACACCGCTGCCCAAAGAGATGACGGGCAAATATCGGGCAAAAATGGCAGCATCGCAAGAATGAGAAGTTACGGAGGAGGTGTGACTATTGTACGCAAACTGGACATTCTAGTGTTTTCATGTTATATTTGATTTTGTACCATTACATAAAGAGACTACTCCATTGTATATTTCCTTTGCATAAATGGGCTGAGCTGCACTTTGTGAGTTAGTATCTGTAAGACCTTCCAGTCCACTTTAAGCAGCGTGAACTTACAAACACTGGGCTTGTTTGAGCAGGCAGACCATGGTCTAGGTTTGAATAACTTGACGCATACACCTGATATGACATTGGTTTCAAAGCCCAAATAGCTCCTAAATAATCATATTTGCTACATTTCTTTGCAGGATCCACCTAATTCACAAAAAGAAACTATACAAACTTGTTTTTACAGAGACATTTTTTTTTATTGGCGCAGAGATGACATTAATAAAATGATGTGTCAGATTTTTAGTTTTGCAATTATTTAACCTGCATTAGTGTTATTAGCTAAAATCAACTGCTAACACACATTACGAAGCTTCTCAAGTAAATCCAAGATGTCACAAAACATGTACAGTGTCACATTTGCTTAACATTTGATGTGGATGTTAAAAATAATCACTGTGAGATCACAAAACATTCTAAGGACAGGAAAGCACGTTTTGACAAATTTGTGCCTGGATTTAGCAGAACTATTAGTGATAATACTTGCTGGCATTTATGTATGTAGTGTTAATTTATAACTTTTAACCCTTATAACTTGACAATGTCGCTTTGACCTAAATAATAAGTTGATCTTTGCAAAGACAGATGTGGTCACACAGGATTTTACTTGGAAGTTGCTAACAATTTGATTCTGAAAATAGTATCGTGTGTCCTTATGGTGACAGCTGGGTGGAGGAACGTCAACATACATCTGAAACACACAGATCCTGTATGACAACATGAAACGAGCGCTATCGGCTTTTACCAAAATGTAAAAAAACAAAGCAGGAAACACTGGGCCGTTTGTTTAATATAAAGACCAGCATGAAACAGCACTTCAGCTACGGACACATGAATCATGCAACACAAGTGCTCTATTGGGTCAGTGGTTCCACTGTAAACATTTGGAAGCTGCACAGTAGGGCATGGATAATGTTTTGTTTACTTGGCTTACTGTAGTATAAAATAAAAACAAGTGCAACCATGCCAACATTACATAGACAAGATGCACAAACAAGATTATTCAGATGAATCGATAAAGACTGAACCAAACCATGCAGATGGACAGAAAGGTTAAGTTCATTTGAGTTTGTTTGTTTTACCCAAAAAAAAAAAAAGAACCACTTTAAATTTACTCCAAATGCTGTCATGAAAATAAGGTCGCTGATATACTTATTTAAAGATTCATGTCAGTGTTAGGGAAGGACACATAACAGGAGCAACAAGAATGGCTGGATTCTGTGTGATGTGCCTTTAATTTCCCTTCTATATCACTTAACGTCCACACATGCTCAACAAGTAGCACGAGTCATGTGACTAAGTTCATCATTTAAGCCTGTGGTTACATTTAAATCAATTTATTTAAACACAAGACCATCCAAACACAAGTTTACTTTCTTTAGTTTCTCATTAAATGATCAGATGTCTGTTGTGTCTGAGTGTTGTTTAGGCCCAGTTGGATCAGTAACATGTGGTGTTGTTCTTCGGCTCAATAATCAGCAAAAACTTCTAGTGTCATAAATGAACTTGTAAGTACATCATTATGACTTCAGTAAAATTGGGATTAAAAGGAAGTCACTTGGATTTTACAAATCAAAGAGCCTGATCTGGAAGTTCTGCAACATATCTGTACAACGTTTTGGCTCTTAAGAAAGTTGTGCTTAACCTACAGAATGGCCTCACCTGATGTCAGTGGAGTCACTGACAACACTGACATGTCTGTGCTGCATTGATTTTATAAAATGCATTGTACATGTGTTGGGCACTTTTAATGTACTTTACTTAAATATAAGTAAATAAAAATCATCTTCGAATAATTTGTCATCAAAACATGGATTTAGAAATGTGCAACAACTGCTTCACTTTGTTTTACATTTCTATTTTCTTTCAACGCTTCTGCCAGAGGTCAAAAGCACAAGTTCTGACTTCCAATAGGCCAGAGCCAAACTCAACTCAAACAAACACCTGACTGTCCCATAAAGAAAATATTTTAAGTGGCATTGTTCATGGTTGTACATATGCAAAAAGGGTTAATATGTTTGGCAACCAACCTGCCAGGTTCATAGATTTTCACTTGCAGTGCTTTTGAATTGTGCATGCTGGGTTAGGTACCAGCCCTCTGCAGTTCTGAACAGAATAAAAGGTTTAGCAAGATGTTTTTTTTTTTTAATGGAAATGTATTTAAAGAGTCATTTCAGGCTACCAAACTCCAAATTATGTTTAATTTTGGGAATTCACTTATCTCTCGTGGTGCAGCAGACCTCGTCCACACTAGAATCAGTGGGCTTATTAGACATGAAAAGTGAGTTAGCCTTGCTGGACTTAGTAAGTAGCTGGGTATTGGGGGGGAAGGGGGGCTCTGGAGGAAAGGAGTCAGTGCTTTTTTCTCTTCTGTTCCTGTAGGGTGTGCTGTAGCTCTCTCAGGTTCTCTGACAAGAGCTCAACCTCGTCCAGACGACCACTGAGCTTTGCATCGAAAATGTAGGCTCTAATGTTGTCAATCTGCTGCAGCAGCAGTTCCTCCTCTATCATGTCCACATCGGGCAAAACCTGTTCGTCATCCTCCCTGTCAAATGGGTTGGTTGAGACTTCTGGGGAATCTGCAGAGGCCTCCAGGAAAGGGTTGCCTGTATCCGTATCCTCCTCCTCTTCAAAGGGGTTGCCATGTATGGCATTACTTGGTTTTTCCTCCTCTACATCTTCATCTTCGTCAAATGGGTTGTATTCTTTCTTCCCATTGGTTTCCTCTTTGTGCTCCCTATTGGTATCCTCAAAGAAGGGGTTGGGCGGATCCTCCTCAATGGGAGTACAGTCTTCCTCATCGAAAGGATTAAGGGATGTGCTGTTCTGTCCTTCACCACCAGGGGGGGTTACATGCCCTCCCAAGCTCCTCAACCTGGGAGGCGACTCCTCCTGGCTTGTGAGTGCAGGGAATGCTCTCAGAGAGGATGGACTCCTCTCAGCTTTAGGAGTAAGCTCCTCTGCTGCAGTGTCTTCTTCTTCTTGGAAGCCGCCTGCTGGACTGATATCCAGAGACCTCTCCCAGGGAGACGGCTGAGTGGAGCCTACAGCTGGGCCCCAGTGTTCCCTCTCCTCCTTTTCTCGGGCTTCCAGACGATGGAACTCCCCCTGCTGCAAGCTCTCCTCTTCAGCAAGTTTCTGAGAAAGTGTGATGGCCAGGCTGGTCTGCTGCTGGTCATACTCATCCTGCAGCTGGCGCAAGTTCTCCTCCAACATGGCTACCTCGTCTGCTCTCTGGGCTTCTTGTGCCTGACGGAGGAATGACTGAATGTTCTCGATCTGCTGCAGGAGGGGGTCCTCCAGCTCTGTGCGTGCATGGGCAGAGTCCGCAGAGGGCAGCCAACCACCAGCTTTTGTCATGCGTGGAGCTCTAGAGGCCTGCGGAAGTTCTCCATTTGTGTTGGGAGACGGACGGTGTCGCTCAGACTCTTGCCTCTTTTTCTGGGCCTCCTTGGATGCCTGTTCAGCAGAAAAATACCAGAAGTGTAAAATCTAGAAGCCGGTTACATTAATGAAAGATCAAAATAAAACTAAGGGTTCAAAATCTCACCAGTCTTTCCTGTTGGAGTCTCTTCTCTTGTTCTTGTTTCCTCATTTCTTTCAGCTCTTCATATTTGTCCTTTGTGGGTAAAGACATAAGACCTAACAGCTTCTCCTGAAACAGGTAAGACACAAGCAATGGGTGAATTCAAGAAAATAAAGGGTTAAATGTGGAAGTCAAGAAAACAAAAGACTGATTGATTAGAAAGTAATAATAAAGCCCAATTTTGACATAATGTATTTGAATTATGAATTTCAATATTACATGCACCGGTCTGTGATTTTTACCTGGTCATAATAATAGTGAGGTCAGGAGTGACAACTCATACAATTAAGGAACAACAAAAGGAAACTAGATGAAATAGCTTTCTTTTTCTTCATGTACATAAACTGATTTCATGTGTAGTTAGCAACCTGCTATCCATACTGTTGCATAAATAAATTGCTTTCTTGCTGTAAAAGAATGGCCTAATTCAGAAAGTCTATATTAGTAGTTGTAAACTAAGTTGCCATGTCTTTGACCATGCTGAGAAGTGTCTGAACTTGTTTCTCACCTGGACGAATAGTGTGGCTGTATAGCGGACCATCTTCTGCAGCTGGAGAGCCTTCGGATGCGGTGGCGGATCACTTTTTGCATTTAGCGTTAAAATCTTCTTACTGAAAAGAAAACGACTCCATTTAATCTTAAAAACATCGCAGAAGACTTCTGCTCAATTTTGAAGCACTCATTCACAACTGGCATCTACCTCAGGGCGTCAATTAGTTCGTAGTATTTCTGTACTTCCAGTCTCATTCCACCGGCCGTGTCAAGATTGTACGTGGTTTCACCAGCACTGTGAGAGGAAGCGTTCAAGAGAGTAAGTATCAGTATTATACAACCAAAGTTCCAAAGAGCACACACTTTTTTTTAAGGGCCTACTTGAGAGACTCGGCCATTCTGATGTATTCTGGAGCCTTTTCATCCACTTTCTCCATGCACATCCTCAGCCTCTGACAGAAAGAAAGAAAGGAATTTTCATTTCTAGAGGAAGCTGAATAAGAGACAAACTGTGGAATCAGTAGTGATACTTTTTACTTCAATAAGAAGACAGCTTGATGTACCAACCTCATAAAGTTTTACTACATCCGGTACGTGGTCCTTCTCTTCCAACTTCTGCTGTCTCTTCAGCAGTGTGTCCATACAGTGATGACAGCAGCGAATTTTCTCGTCATCCTTTTCCTCCAGCATGGAGGTGACACTGCTCAGACTGCTGATGCTGCCTCTCCTGGAGCCCATCCCACCGCCGCCGCCGCCACCCACTGCTGGGGGAGACTGGGAATGACCTGGGCTTCCGGTTACGCACAAGGCGTCTCTTGTTCCACTGATCAGCTTTTCTGTAGACAGAAAAAAGGCATAATTTTACAAATTTAACTGATAGCCGACTTGACTAAACAGATGACAGTTTCCTCCAGATGAAAAGGTTTTTTTTTTTTATGCATACGTACGAGCCAAAGGTAAGGGGACAAACTCCATGCACCTCCTACACATGATGGACCCACAGAGACGACAGTGGTGTCGCCTGTTCCGGATGTTGAATTTGTTTCCGCAGTCAGGACAGAATGGGACATCTGAATCATTCACCCACGACACCACCGACTTCTCAATGGCTAGAAAGTTGGATCAATTGTTATCAATAATTTATACTTTCAAATACATCATATTGATATACAATGAGGTCAATCAGAGTTGAAGATGAATCAATAGAGTCAAACCTCTGATTCTGGCTGCGTCCGAGTTGATCCTGTCAAACGATGTCAACTGAAATACAAGTTGGCACAGTATAGCTCATTTTTAAGCAGGATTTCAAATAAAAGAAAAATGTGACTGTTTTTTTTTTTCAAGCTAACCTTTTCCAGTCTGATGATGAGCTTGTTGACTTCAATAACATAGTGATCTATCCTGGCTGCCCGGTGCTTCTTAAAGTCATCCAAATGACTTCTGGTTGCCCCTACAAAAGTGAGAGTGCTGTGTTGTGACACACTTAATGGCCTTCTAAGTCATAATTATCAATAATTATTTTTATTTTATCCATAGAATATTTAAAAAGCATGCCAGCAAACAAAAACAAACAAAAAACATGGTGAGGACGTTTTACTTCCACCCTATTTTCACACACGCATCGTCTTTGTCTCACCTAATTCTTGAGGCTCCCACATGTAGGGGTCCACTCCACCATAGTAGAAGGACTCATATTTGCCTGTATCGGTTTTGTCGTCTCCATCCTTCTTCAACAGTTTGTCCTTGGCTTTCATTGCCTTCTGAACCAAACCTGTGCAAGAAGAAAATAAGGCCACAGTTTTCCCCTTGTGCAGAAAATTAAAAAAAAGATATTACACAATCATAAGCTGACAATCTGTGTAGAAAAGTCTAACAGAAGATCCACTCATTTCATTTCAAGATGCATGATCGAACTGCAGAGACATCAGAGTGCTAACATTCTTGCACGCCTTTTGTCTCCCTTCAACCAAGATCCTCACTCTCTTCATTTCATCATTTCCCCAGTTCATCTACTGTCCCTCCTTTTAGACTGCAGCAGAAAGGGTTGCCAATTCAGCATGGCATACATGCTCCCTGCCCCAACACTTAAATCTAATTAAAAATGTACGCCTTAAACTGCCCTCACAGTCGCACTGAATTTGTACTAGACCAAACAGTAAATAATAGTTTTTGATGTTGTTGTTTGTTTGTGATTCAACTAAAATAAATGGAAATGTCTTCTTGGCGTTAGGGACTCACTTTTGAGCTGCCCCCTCACATGGCGGTCATCCCCAGAGTGCTCCTCTTCATAGTGGTCTTGGAGTTGGTAGAATGACTGAAGATCCTTTAGACACAGTGGGCAAAGGAAGCCCTCCTTCACTTCCCCAGTGCCCTCAAAGGGGGACGGATAACTTGAGGCCATGACAGTGGTGGACTGTGTTGTTTGAGAAGAGATGAAAGGCTGAAAGATTCCTGCTGTGGTGCACAATTCACGAGTTGTGCAACCCATCCCATATTGGTTCCATCATGCCAGAGAGAGTCCTTGGGACACTGCAGCGCAGAGGGAAGCATATTTAGGTCATGCATACTTGCTTACACAAAATGTATGCAAGCAATTTCAGACACCTTGAGATTAGAATGTGAACTAACACATATTTAACAAATGTTTTCTGCTTAGTAAGACAACCTGGAAATACAGATCCCCAAAGGAGGTAGTAATAAACAGCATTGATATATCTGATTGACACATTTGAAGAATACATGATCTCTTAGTGTCAAGACAGAAACATACTTTTTCTTCACATTATTGGGTTAGATAGCACTCAAGACTAAGTAGGCTCAAATTTGTACCCATTCAAGTCCCATAGTCAAAGCTGCAAGTCTTTTTTTTCTTTTTTACAAAGAGTAGCTAACAAGCTGATAGACACTACCTAACCCAGACACTAAAAAGACACTTAAAAAACGACAAATATTGAAGTAATTAAATATGACATACAGTTTCGAGATCTTATGAATGATTTTAAAGGTTGTATTTTATCACCAGAGCAAAGTCAGCCAAGATAAAAACCGAGCTCCTTATTGGGCTGCGTTACAGAACCCACCCAGTCAGAGAAATGCAAACCAAGCGAGTCGACAAGTACTCACTTTCTGACTCCAAGCGAGTATTGTTTTACTTGAATCCATTACTTGAGCATAATTTATCCAATGGCTGGAGTTATCTTTGTTTATGTTTAGCTAACTATAGCCGCCGTTATGTTGAACAGAGAGCACCAAATGCTAACAGCAGGTCTCGCCTCTTTAGCCAATCTCCAACCTCATGCTTCAAAACATTGGTATAACTAACTTCAAACTGCACAAAAACAAAGTCTTACCAAATTATATCAACGCGTTCTGTCGTTTAAACCAACAAATTGATTAAAAAAAACAAACTATGTGGGTTACAGTAGGGCTTCTTCTTTGACAGCTCGACAACACCACCACCACCACCAGCTGCAGAAGCAGCAGCAGCCCAACCTGGTCATGTGATCAGCATCCAGTCGGTACGAGGCGTCAAGAGGGACAAACGACACGAAATGCACTCAACCCTATGACTCAACCTGATTAACCTGGAAGACAAACAAATGCACCACAGTGTAAAGTATGTGATATGGTATCGTTGTTTGTTGTTTTTTCTTAATAGTTTTAGTATCCTTAATTGGGCATTTCTATTTTTGTCCCACACATGAGTAATGTCCCTTTTAAAATTCATGCAACCTGCCCAGAAGCTCTCATTCAACCATATCAAAAATGTATCTGGTATCAGTTCTCTAAAATACTCTTATACAAATGTAGGTCTATATATATAACATATAGGCTAATTGTCCTGTCTCGTTCAGTGTTTACTCCCATTTAGCTCTTTTGAAGCAAACGCTCTTCTTTTTAATGGCACTGATATAACAATAACACGTTTGATGTGCCACATTAATTAAAAAACATATTTTTCAAACTATTTATTTCATTTGCAGTGATACCTGAATATGCTGGGGGTCCACATGATTTTAATGTTTTTCCTTGTGTTTAATTGCTAGAAATAGCTAATAATGCAGATCCTAATAATATAGAGTAGTGACTGTCGTGACTTACAAACAATGTAGGCCTACTTCTTAGATTTACATTTTTTTTCTGACCAAAAGTTTTTCTGCACAAAATTGTTTATTCTATAGTTGCACTAACTTGGCAAATGCAAGATTCGATCATAAAAAGATCAGCTGTTTCATTACTGGGAGAGTTGGGAGTGCAGGGAGAGAGTTTCAAAAGATAGTAAGGGAGATGTCAGATGACGCAGCTAAAGCCAGTCAGTGGATCTTGGATGAGTAATGCCAGTTGGTGGCCAGAATAAAGGTAGGAGAAAACCATTCATTTCCTGTTTTTCTAGCTCTCTGCTTCCCCTGTCCTCTTTCAAAGATCTCTCCTCAGACTTTTCTTTCTATTTTCTCTTGTCTTCTCTTTGCCGTTAATGTGTAATGATGGCGCCAGGAATAGTTGGCAATACTGGTTGGGCTATGTTGGCCACGTTGTAGGGTGTAGGGTCTATCTATCTATTTGTGGGTGGGTGTGGTGGGCGGTGAGAGCCAACATGGAGAGGGGGTTTCTGGGACACTGGAGCTCACTTTCTTGCCTTTCCGTTGTTATGGGGCTGATTGAAACGCCGGTGAAGGGAGGTTCCCCCTTGACAACCCCGATGATGTCCTGGCTCTTGCTGTCCATCAGCCTACAGGATTGAGTTGTGGGGGACAGAAGTGGCCATGTGGTAGGGTTGGTAGTATCAGCATTGTCAATACCTGGAGCTCCCCTCTACACAGCCTGTGTCTGTTTTGGTAGTGGTGGCAACTAAGGGCCAAAGGGTAGGTTATGTAACTTAATTGGGATGAGGGATGTCTTCGCTGAGTACTTATCCTTTCATTAGGGCACAAGTAGCTTGTGTTTATTTCAAATGTGTGCAAAGGAGGAAACTTCTCAGGGAGCCTGCTGTATCTAATGTGTCACTTGGTTTATGGTTTATGTAAATAAATCCAGTCTTTATCTTTTTTGGAAAATATCTTGTATTCATTTCTGAAACGAAGAAACGTAATGAATTCCATGTCACAGTTGCTCAATAATGCACTCTCCTTTGAATTAAGCTATTTCTACAGGGAGGCAACAAAAAAAACGACCCTCTGGTGACTTGTGTTTATCAAAAAAAAATGAAAGACAGGTTAATGTTAAGTATTTCTGGAGTTTTGAATGTAGTGATATTTCTAAATCTCTGCTGAAGACACACCTCTTGCTTGACATTGTATTATACACATATTTATTGTGTTTTTTTTGCTCTTTTAATTCATATTTGTCCTTTAATATTGTGTTTTAACTCGTACAACTCTAAGGTTCTTTTAAATTTGCAAAAATAAACTCTGACTTGGACTTTATACAAAACGTATTAAAGAAAAATTGCCACAGTCTACTTTAACACTGAACAAGGCCAAGCAATCACTAAACTCACTTACTAATGGGCATTGTAGAACAATGCGGACTAATTGTTTAATCAAAAAGCAAGGCATTAACTTTCCCATAGTGCCTATTTTTATCATCAGTCGATCAATTTGGCTGTTCCAGGACATTTAACTCCCCGATAACTTTGCTTCTGTTGCCTGTTCAGTATCTGTACCTCCTAAGTATATGTGTTTCTTTTAACAAATATTTTGAGCCTAGCACTAACATTTAGTATTTTCTGTATTAATAACCTGTTAGTTGACCCTCGCACAGTCTTCATTTCATTTTAATATTTATTTTAATAACTCTTTTGCTTTTTATGCCATTTTATGCCATTTTTTCAAACCTGCATGTTTGACAGTCATAGGCAAAAGTCAAATGAAACTGTCTCAAAGAGATATTACTTTTTTATTTAAATTACTTATAATTCACATCCACAATGGACATTCACATTTTTATTCATTTTCATTTCTGAAAAAGATCAAATCTTAGAGACCATTAGAATGTTTAACTGGTGTGTGTCTGTGTTTAGGTGTGTGCTTTTACATATTTAGTGGGTTTTTTTTGACATAATGTTTTTATTATCATTATTGTCATAAGAGACGCTGAAAATTCAAAAAGAATGTAACGTGCGTGTGTGTGTGTGTGTGTGTGTGTGTGTGTGTGTGCGTGTGTGTGTGTGTGTGTGTGTGTGTGTGTGTGTGTGTGTGTGTGTGTGTGTGTGTGTGTGTGTGTGTGTGTGTGTGTGTTCTCCATGAAGCCGTCATCTCCAAGTCACGTGCTTGATGCATCCTTTGCATATTGATAAGGTCTGTAGACACTTGCTCTGATGGAATGAGCCCAATTAAACTGAGAGGAAGAAACCCGGCACACACACTCTGTCTGTCTACTATTGAGTTGTGTTAATCATTTTAGATGAGAAGCTGACTGCTTAGCTGTCTGAACCATAGACTGTAAAAATGTCTGAGTCGGGCTGTATAAACAGTTTAAAAGACTTTGATAGTGACTTAAGCAAACCATGATTTTTTTACCAATGCTTTTTATTATTCATCAAAAACATTGGTCGTTGACTGTAAGGCAAAGGTAGCTTTAAATGTACAACATTAAGGTAAAATAAACTCAATCATTGCAATAATTAAAAAAAAGTAATCATTGATACATTTCATTATATGTGATAATAATTATGTTTTTACATAAAACAATGAAACACAAGTCCATCTATAATTCTTAACTGGGAACTTTAGCCAATTGGATCAGTCGTACAGTATTTTACTGTACTGACAAGCGTGTGTTGCCTCACAGAGGCGACATCGCAAAACCGAGAAGACTAATGCTTTCATGCGTGCACTTGATTTCATTATGAGTGGTTTGGTTAAGGAAAAAAGTAAAATCAAGGTGTAACAATAATTCCTTAATAAAGGTAAACACAGTGCAAGCGCTCTTCTGAGAACCTTATTTTCAACGATATAGTTAGGTGGACGTTTACGCACAAGCTCTCCATAGAAACATACAGCAGATACATGTTTTATGCAAATGGTACAGTGACTGTGTGCCAAAGCAAACCCGCGAAAGGTTAAATGATGAAATTTATTTTTCGTTTACAATAATTTATTATGGTCACATAATTTACACATTTATTAGTTTACTTTACAGCAGTATCGCACACCAGACTTCAGTTTAACCTACTCTCCTTCCACTAAATCCTCCTCGGGTGCAAACCTTTTGCCCGGGTGTTGTCTCTTCTCCTCGGCATGGCTCTTGTTAATGTTGTCTAAAAAGTCGAGCAGTAAACTGGTCTTGCTGCAGCTCGTAGGTTCCAATACATCACACGGACTGTTTGTGCCTATATCCGGAGAGGAGTTATCCCAAAACCGTTTCCCCGGGTGTTGGCGCTTTTCTAACTCAGCAAGGTCTTCGTCTCCATCTGTATCAGCATCCCAATCCCCCTCGCTGTCCTCATCCTCGGGTTGGCGCTTTCCTGGGTGCTGGCGTTTGCTGTGTAGCACCAGATAGCGCTTACCCGGGTGCTGTCGTTTTGAAAGTTCACTCAGGAGCATCACGGGGTTTTCTGAATTGTGTCCTGTGGTGAAGCGCTTTCCAGGGTGCTGCCTTTTCTGGAGCTCCATCAATGAGTGCATTGCATCTTCGCGTTTGCCTGGGTGCTGTCTCCTTTGAACATCCAAGTACTGTTCATCCTCGTCTTCTTCTCTCCTCCCCGGATGCTGCCGCTTCTCCAAATCCTCAATGTACCTTTTACCGGGATGCTGTCGTTTTGACACCCATGCCGTCTGAGAGGAAGATCCTTCTGCAAAAAGAAATTAAATGTTTATTTAACTTTCAGAAACGCTGCTGTAAGTTTCCATGTACTGCAAATAGGTGCTTCCACAGCTTGTCCTTTCCGTGCGTAAATTACGCACGAAAGAGTGCTACATTGTTTTGATTGCGTCGTAGCAAATTGGAGGACGATTTTTTCCTTCTTTTTTTTTTTTGGACAATGTACCATACTTTTCCTGGAAAGTATCCAATGCTTCAACGTTTCCATCATAAATCAATCTTCCAGTTCGAAATATTAGACAAATAGCTTCATGAAGTGATATCATGGTTGTGAAAATGAATATGTCCTGACGGGTTTAAAACTAAGCAATGAATTTATTCAAAGTACGCCATGGTATTATTTTTACACCAGATTATTCGTTCCTGGGTTTCTTGTAAAACGAATTAAAGGCACAAAGTTTACGCACCGTTTCTGCCGTCTTCTTCCTGCATCTTACTGAGAATGGACCTCAACAGGAGACTCTCTGCTCTCTGTAGGATTATGTCGTCTATGGTCACTCGGTCTGTCTCGTCCTCAGCGGGGAGACCTTGTCCTACGCACACATTCAAGTTGTAGACCACTAGAGAAGCCAAGATGAGCAGGCAAGTCGACTTCATGGTAGATTAGTTGTTCTTCTGTTGGAGTAATATAGATCATGATCAAAATGAGCAAATATTTTACAGACTTTGTGTCTTTAGATATATAGTTATACATACTACAGTAAGCTTATAATTTACATTCTTTGATTATACACTGAGACCTGAAGTTACTTATTTTCCTGAAATACCTGAGGTGATGTGAATTTACATCTTGATTTTATCCAAGAGCCTTTTCTTAAATCTTCGAGCTGTTCTTTCATACTGATCAGTTACTGATAAATTTTGAAAATTCAACGAGCATTACAAACATACTGCATAGTTTTACTGCAGCAGCATTTTAAGCCTGTTTTACAGAAAGGAAAAATGTAAACTGAAAGTAATACAGTCTGAAAACTTCCATATCAAATCTGGATTACGCATGATACATTTGACCCAAACATGGCCCTATAGGAAGCGAGAGAAAAAAACACACACATAGAAGAAACAGATAGACATTTAACAAGTATGATATTTCAAAGTGCAGTGCGCCATACTCACCTGAGAAGTATGCGTATCCTCCTCTAGCTCAGTCTCAGTCCTCTCAGCTCTGTTGCTCGCAGTCTCTCGCAGCGGTTGCTGACCCGTAAAGGCCAAGTCTAGAGGTATGAGCGGATAACTTTCCGTCTCAGCATTTATACTTGCTGCTCACTGTCGTCACACCAACGCTGGAGTCATTTTTCAGGATCCCTCGTACCCAATGATGTCACCAAGTCGTGCGCAACTGGATGTTGTGAATGATCGCCCAACAGGGGCCGCTGCCCATTTTGTCATTTGAAAAACAAATAAACGTCTGAATACCAGACACCGCAGGAGATGCTAAACGATGACTGGATAGATCCACGGACGAATGAATCTGTTTTTGTTTGAAGTTATTTATATCAAGTTTTCTCACCAAATATGTCTTTAAGCATATTTGGTGTGTAGCCTATATTTCTTTATTAACTCATTTTTTGCGAGTATTTTTACATCAGGTATTGATGATCTTAGTATCCTAACAAAATATCAGGTCTCCAATTTGACACCATGCAGCCTGCAGAGAGATGCATTCTTATTTTTAATAAATACTCATAAGGCCATAGGATTCTGAATCCCTGTGGTTCTCCTGAGCACACTAAAGCACTCTAGTCATGATGCAACTTGGCTCAGTGTACCAAGCGTTGAATATATATATATATATATATATATATATATGCCAAAAAAAATTGAGAATACACGTTTTGTCTAAGCTCTATATGACCGTAAACTGAATCATTTTGAAGTATGTGAATTCAGATCCAGCAAATCTAAAGAGAAGTCACTATGCACTCTGATGTACTGGGAAGACTTTCTTTACTATTTTTAATCAATAAGTGATGAAAGTAAACATTCACCCGGATAGAAAATAATGAGTTGCAGCTCCACCTAAACAAGTTGTATCTCAGAATATCACAACAGTGAAATGCGATTGGGTAATCAATTTCTTACTTGAGTAACATTTTGAGTTGTATTATAGATCTAAGTAAATTACTCTGGGCAAATTTGGTAACAGTGAGTTATTGATCAAGGGGGAAATGAAGGAAGCACAAGCATGACATTTCTAAGTTCAATGAAAGATATTTAGATCAACAAACACGTTTTTTCTCAATTGTGTGTAAGGTCAGTGTTGGATGGTAAGGTCATTTTAGGACTTTAACCACTGAGTTAGACTTCATGAGCACATTGGAAGGCTACTGACAACGAAGACGGCCAGAGTTAAACTTCTGACATTAGTGACTCTGGATGTGGATACAGATGATATTTTATTAGATATTTGCACTTCATTATTACTTTTGAGCACCACTGAACCAACGCAGAAGGCTTCTCAGTCCAAAGCCAGCTGTATAAAACTATGCCGAGTCAAACACAACTCTGTGTGTATGAACTCCTGCACAGTCACACTTAGTCAGTGGTGAATGTAGAATTGGCCGTGTAATCCTTTAATTACATGCTTTCAACATGCTGTCATGTTGAATATTTCAACCAAGCCTGCAGTTCAGAAAACGTCAATAGCATGTTGGAAATCATTATAAATGCTTGCATAAACCTATAGACCATCTTGACTGTAGTTTTTTTTCCTTTGTGAGGAACAATGTTATACCCTAATATCTTAAAATACTGCTTTCTAATAGGGAAGTTTGTCAAGATATGTGAATATCAGTTATAACTTTAACACTAGAATAAGATTAAGGATGTTTAAAAAAGTGTTTAACGGATTTTTAACTCTAAAATTTAATGTCTCTCTCTTCTGTTAAACTCTGTTAAGAAGGAAGAATAATTCCAATTCGAGCCAACACTTTTTATTTGGTATTGATTTCTTTCTTTCTGCACTGCCTGAGGAAAATTATACGCAGAGATTTCTCAATGTAGACACTCTGACCTGTATGGCAACCCACCTTTTAACACGTGTCATATACTGTATGCCCACTCGCTCCTATTAGGCCAAGTGTGTAATGAAAGTGCAAAGCAACCAATTAAATACAGAGGAAACCATGTCAGTTGAATTCTAAAGGACAGCGTCTGAAAATCTTGTGAATCTGTGGAAACGTGTTTGGTGAATGTTGTGCCCTGATTCAGAACAATAAAAGCAGATGAAATGCAACATTTAAGGTGTCGTTTTCCCCCCTTATCAAATTAAGACTGTGATTGAAATAATCAGCCCTGATTTCTTTTGATACTCTCTTCCTGCATCCTGCACTTAAACCCTCGCTAGCAAACGCTTTCAAGGCTGGAAAACATTTCAGTAAGTATTCTGGTCAGTGCCTCATGTACTGAGGAAGAAGACGGGTTAACTATACATCCTGTGCAGTAGGTCAAAATAATGAGACTCATTAGCTTCTGTTATCTATTTACTCTTGATGCTGGTAATTAGATATCTTTCAAAGCTGTGCTGAACTTCTGAAGTGTGGAAGTTTCCTTACGTGTCATGCTGTATGAATAACCCAAATTAATACTTGATCAGGGCCCTGAGTCACATAGTGAGGTTAATGGCTTGGCAGTTATCTTTGGACTTAAATCTGGTTTTCTGAGCTCACAGTGGTAATATTTGCTGCACAGCTATCCAGCTCCAGACTCCGTTTAAAACGAGGTCGTTTACAAATCAATTGGATTTTCTTAGAGCACATCAAAGTCGCTTCATAAATACATCTAGTTTCATTGGTTTCTCACAGAAAAAGTGTAGATACCCTTCTTCCTTCAGTCATTAAAACTTGAGGAAAAGAATCCCATCTGTCAATGTGCAGTGAGATAATAATAGCTGAAGGAGAACTATCATATCCTCAAGTGATGTCATGTCAAGGCAACATCAGAAGGAGCTGAATACTATATATTTAGAAATAAAAAAATTAATCTTGGATTGTGTTTTTTTTTTCTCCCACAGAGGTAGCTTACCAGACCTGCAGCTCACGTATCATCATAAAAGCGAGGCAGCTTTTCAATGTTGGACCAGATTCTGAAGTGTTACAGATGATCTTCGCAAGGCATACCGGTATGTGATTAAAGTAAATCTGTTTTGACTGAAGGGGATCAACAAGACACCCACCTCTATTACAGGAACACCATTACAAATTGAATTGAACATATGTAATACCCCCTCTTTGCTGTAGCAGTCGTCCAGGATCAAGACTGTTTGGCTCTGTGAAGTCAGGTAACACAAAAACAGTCAGATTAAGTTCAGCCTGCTTCCTGACACAAGATCTTGTTGTGTAAGTCTCCAGCGTGCAGCTAATGAGTCCAAAACTTTCCCTCGGTTATTCAACGCTAAGTGGTGCCTGCAGCCTTCTGTGTAATCCTCAGTGTGTTAGTACGGGGAAGTCAAAGGTGGCTCTAAAGAAGATATGCCCTCAAAAAAAAAAATCACAGTATAATACAAGACAGAGCTTCAAACACACCACAGCTTAACCAGACAGATAAGCATTATGAGACAACTGACTGAACTTGTTGGAACAAAATCAAAGGATCTAAGAGCGGGAAATGGTTTTACACAGAGATAAAAATAAAAGGAACGAAGGAGTTAACTTTATGTATTATTGGATAACTGAATTTAAATTGCTTCAAATGATATCTCCGGAGAGTCTATTTAGTGTATTACTCTGATTTTCTCAAGTGATATCATCATATCTTTGCTCAATAATGGACCCAGTTCTGAATTGGACTAACACAAATTCCTCCAGCCGAGGTTTTTATCAGGTGTCAGGTTGACCTGGATATCAAAGCAGGATCTGATGTAACTAATGATCTGGTTCATGGTTGGCTCTGTTTTTGCTCTCCGCTAACTCAACAAATATCCCCCTTTATTAAAAAGCTAGTTGCTTCCTATGACAATCATTTGAGGGTGAGCAGATAACATCTGTATTGTGAAGATTTTTCACAGAAAGCAGCTATAATGGAGACTTACAGAAGTACACTATATCATCTTTTGTTTTTCCTATCTCCTTATAAGATGATGTATGTTAAACTGCCTCAGTAATGATGACTGGCACCAAGGAGGAGTTGGTGATGTTGTATGGCACAGTGAACAATAGGTTACAAACCTTTTGTCTTGGGACGCCAAGGAGGTTAGTGGTTAGTTTGCGCACCTCGTGTACAGAGGCTGTAGTCTTTAAAGCAGGCAGCTCGGGTTTGAATCCTGCATGCTATTCCCCACTCTCTCTGTCCCTGATTTCCAACTCTATCCACTGTCCTTTCCCAAGAATAAAGTCATAAAAAGCCCAAAGACAAATCTTTAAAAAAAAAAAAAAAAGGTTTTGTCTTGACCCCGAGTCAACATTGTGTATTTTATCTACAGCCTCCCAGACATGAAACTCCCAAATTGGTTTTGAAACCCCAACCAGGCCCTCAATAGACTTAGCTAGGCTGTGTATGTGCCTGAACATAAGCAAACTTAAAGATAATCTCCTGCACACTGTCTAACTTCCAAACAAACATTTATTGGCAACGTTTCAGCACTAGACCTTCATCAGGCAAAAAGTCAAAGAAGATTGCATCTGGGATTGATGAGCAACATTTTGAGGCTTCTGGTGAAACAGCAATAAAGGACCAAGACTTCCTTTTCCATGTGTTGCCTTTGTTTACAGTCTGACTAACTTGAGTCAGAGTAACTTGAAAAGTGAGAATGGAATTGTTATTGACAGACGATATCTATTATGTCTAACATGTTTGCAGATATCAGCCTAAAAACTTAAATCAAAGCTAAATCATCAAAATGGCACAGTTCCCAGATTGCTTTTCTGCAGATTGCATTTTGCCCATTTTGATTTTCACTTGATTTGATTTCCTACTTACAGCCAATACTTGCCAAAATGCGGGCGGATGATTGTATATGTTCTACAAATGAAAACACTGCCAATAGCAATGGTCCGGTCCTGGGCCAGTGGATTCTGCATTTTTTTGCCAAATCTGTAAATAAAGATTATGTGTTCAGGAACCATACTGTACTGTAAGCCGTATAGACTGTGGTGAGCTGGGCATAGTGTGGCACAGCACCTTATGACTCTCTGCTACAGAGTAAGTCAAACAAAATCTCTGATAAGTTCAATAAAACTCACAAAAAGTATTGAGTGGATATCTAAC